CCTCCCCCACTCCTAAGGATAGTGTCTTGCTATTTCTTTTTCCTCCTTTATTCTGCCATATTAACCTTTCCAATATGCTCTGTGTATAATCTTCCTCTAATTCATGTCCACACTTACCACCCAGATCCTCTCCAGTTTTATAAATTCCAGGTCAAATTTACTCTTCTACAGAGCTTTTATCCTCAATGTCTTTTTACAAGCATTATTATTTCAATGTGTTTGTAGGATTTTCAGAACCCATTCACCATGGTCATACAATTTTTCAGTCAAAAACAAAACTGTGAAGTAGACCACCAAAATTATTTCTAAATAGCTTTGGAGAGCACTTGAGGAGAGGAGAGCAGTTTTGGGGTTTGAACTGAGTTTTTATAGTTCATTCAATAGTGAAATTTTTTAGTAAACATCTTTTTGCTATAATTATTTTATTTTTCCAGACTATCCACTTTTATACAACACAGGATTGCTTATGCTGTATTTCTAGGATAGTTTATTTCATCTCATTTCTCAAGGCCATTGCTGCCTGCACACTCTTAAAACTTTGCAATGCTTCTATGCCAAACACATAAATACCTTGATAACAATTTCAAAAAAAGATATGAATATTAATGAAAAGAGGGGATGTAAACAGAAAAAAGATTAATTTAGCACAAGGATTATCTGTGGGTTATCTGAGAATGACAGCAGGATTTGTTCTGTGGGCCATCAGGCAGACAGAGGTACCGCAAGAACTTTTTTTCCTGCTTCCATAGAAAGGATTAATGTTAAGGCATACAGTTAGCTGTCAGGACTATTAATTGCCTAAATTCCTCAAGCTAAAGGAAAAAAGCCAACTCAGCAAAAAGCTTCTGTCAAAGGATAGCGTGTTTTTTCTTTTCAGCAGAGGCATAAGCCCACAGGAGATTCCAACCATGTAAGCAGGAAACTCTGAATGGAAAAAAACAGACAAAAACCATGATGTCTGGGGGTAAAAGCAATGCAGGGGAGGACACTGGTGCTGCTTGGTCAACCAGTGTCTATCCTGAAGGAAACTGGACAGTGTTACAATAACCAGCTCCTCGCTGCTCTCCTGTGTGGTTCTCAAAGCAGTGGTGGAAGTGGTGGGGAGTGCCAGCCCCTTCCAAGGAGGGCTGGTAGAACTCCCCTGCCTCATGTGGGGTCATCACTCCTCACCGTGCTTCACATCAGTGCACCCCAAGAGGTCTTTCCATAGAGCAAATCCATTCTCCAGCTTTTTTGTAGCCTGCACACTGCCCTGGACTTTGCTCATGTGGGGCAATGGGTGAAGCCTCAAGGCATGGGGGAAAAAGTCGCCATGTGCTCCCACTGCCTGTGGCCTGGGCTTCCTTTAACTCCCATGAGCAGCAGAGGAGAGAGCACATGTTTCCACACATGATCCCAACATGTCTGATGGTGCTGTGACTCCCAAATGCCAGATTTCTGGCCCAGAGGTCACAGTGCCTGAGGCACCTCGAAGTGTAGCTGTAAGGGATTGGTCCTGTGTTTTATTTCAGCTGGTGGACTTACCAGCTCTTGTGCTATAGACACTGGCACCAGCATCATGAGTTACAAACAAGGCTGCTGGGTGGCGTTTTACATCCAGGCATTAGCTTCTACCATCAGTGGCTTTGGATCCAAGCAGACAATTGCCCTGAACTAGGATGCCTCATCCCTGTGGTGATGCAGCAGCTGCCAGCAGCCGCTCCCTCCACCCCATGCCCCTGGCTTTTCATCCGGCCTCCGCTCTCCCTCCATCTCCCCCAGCTCTGCAAGTGAGGAAGGCAACCTCCCAAGCCACAGAGTGGTTTGGTGTCCCAATCTGTGGTCATTTATGATGAAGAATTATATTCCAAAGGAAAAACAGGCCATCACTGAAATAGCTGCTTCTCCCCAGTGTTTTCAACTCTCCATCTCTCTGGGGCTGTAACGAGACTGCAGCTCCATCCAGGCTCAGACCCAGGCGCTTTCCAGTTCCTAGTCACGTTTCCCCACTTTGCCACTGCCCCATAGCCACAGCGTGCCTCAGGATGATCTGCACATACCAAGCTGGAGTTACAGATTTACCACCTTGGAGACAGGGACTGTAAATCACAGATCCTATTAGCAAGCTTAGGCGAGGCAGATGAAGAAGGCTTACTTGCACACACCGGACTGCAGTCCTGGATGTGCAAAAGGACCTTTTCAGATGAGGAGTGATGAAGACCAAGTTCCAGAATGCTGTACCTGCCAAGCCCAGGTCCCCCAGCACACTGAAATCCCCATAGCAACTCTGTTCAGAAAGGCAAAGTGATGTAACTGCCATAAATGGTTTAAAAAAAAAAAAAAGCAATACTGCATAGGAATGTATAACATCAGCACAGGGACACATCAAACAGCTCTATTTGGCCAGACTGACAAATACTGAAGAGTTGGTGAAACATGGTACTGACCTGGTCTCCCTTGGGCCTCCAGACAAGATGACTCTAGAGAAGAATGCCCTAAAACAATGTGTTCTTTTTCCAGCAGGCTACACCAGTGTATTTCTGTTGTTAGGATAGTCTCTGGTTCTGTGGATGCATTTTTCTTAAATGTCAGGGGCCACTCTCTTAAACCTCCATGGCATTTATGCTGCACAAACATATTTTAAAATAGATGCAAATGTCCCTAGAAATATTAGTAATATGAGAACAGGGCCCTAAGGAAAATAGATAATAGTAATTTTGAAGACTTTGTAGCATCAAATGAATACAGCATTCATGAAAAGTGGTTTGCAGTGGGAAATATTTTGGAGTCTGGGTTAAACTCTTACTTTAGCACTTATTCTTTTGCAATTCCTGACATGGAATTATGTCCTTCCACAGGAAGTAGTTCTAAAAAGTACATTTAATGTGAATGAATACACAGAATATCCTGGAATTATAGATGTAAGTCATGAGATCATTAGTGGCATTTAGCACCACTCATTAGCTACCTAGGCCTGAATAGTGTCAGCTGAACAAGCCAAGCAGCCTGTGTATGCAACAAACTGTGGAGAAAAAATATCCCTTATGTAGGAGTTGAGATCTACAGTCCCTCAAGCACAGTGCCTGTAACATACCTCTGCACTCCAAGATGTCCCAAACTGGGGCTTGAATGGCACAAGGAAATTTATAATTCCTCATAATTCTGGTGGAAGACATAGGGCTCTTTGGGTGAAGCAAAATGTGGTTGCATTTGTTGCTTAAATTGGTCACAGGCTGATGCTTTGGGGTCTTCAGTAAGGCTGCCTGGAACTTCCATTCTCTGGAAATATGCCAAGGTTTGCAGAAAAATATTTGTCCTACTTCTGAATAAAAACTAAAGAAACTAGACACCTTTTGCAGCTAATATGAGGAAAAAAAAAGGCAACTGTTGGAAAAACCCACATCATATTTTACAGCTGGCTAGGAGTCTTTTGGTCTGACAAAAAAAAAAAAAATTCTCTGGTAAAGCTGAAATTGTCTAGCAGCAAATCATTCTAGCAGACAATTCCCTACTCCTTTCCCTGTTAGATCTTGAGACTTTTTTACTTGTATTGAAATATAAGCCAAAAATTATTGCACAACTGAACAAGGAGTGGAAAAAAAGAATCTCTTGACCGATGGCACTGAGTAAATGTCACCTGAATCAATAGAGGGCAACAGATGGAGGTTTTACCATTGTCTTTTCAAATTAATCATTAATTTATTTTTTTAAAGTAATGACTATAAATCTTCCCAGAACAGATTGTTATTCTGCATGTTATGATTCATTAAACAAGTACAAAATGAGATCATTATCATTTAAGTAAGCGTTTTTGAGACTGCCAAATATCCTCCAAGTATTTCCTGCAGCTGGGAATGCAAGCATCTTCCTTGGAGCTGGCAGGCTGCTGGCACCATATCCTACTCCAAGAGCTTCTCGTACCTCTGGCTTGCAGTCCTGTCCTGGCCACAGGGCCCCACTCAAGTGGGTCATTCCACTTGCCCCTCAGGCAGCAGCAAAACTGGAAGCTGACTTCAAGATGCAAAGCTGATTTGGAATCAGCACCTGCAGCGATGCATGGCCATCACCCCAGGGAGCTGGGGCTGGAAAACCCTTCCCCAGAGTAGGATTTTTGCCCATCCAAGCCTCTAGCTCAGCTGGCTGATTACTGGGACACAGCAGTCACCAATGCCTTGGATAAACTGGGATTAGTCTCCTCTTCTTAGAAATTCCCACATTGTAAAGCCAAAGAACGCAGCTGGCAGAGTGCAGCTACAGGAGACAGGTTACCAAAAATAGGACTTCCCCACTTAATTTCTTTTAGGTGTAATTTCCTGACTGCATTATTAAAACAACAATGACATAAGGGGCATGATGCAGCAACACAGAAAACAGGTGCAGGTAAAAGCAAAAGAGCCAATTACATATTTGTGTAGAAGAAAGTTAAAGGAGCAATAAAGGGAATTCACAACTTACCTAACAAATAGGCACACAGCCAACCTCCACCCCCCCAGCCACTTTTATAGTCCTCTGACACATGAAGGATGCCAAAAAGTGAAAAACAAACAAAACCTAAAAAAATGCCCCAACCCCAAAAAAACCCCACAAACCCCCCTCCCCCCTCCCGCCCAAATTACAGCAATTACTTGATTGGGCCATTTTCACTTCCTAATCTGTGAGACATAAATTCCCCACGGTCATCTGACCTCTGTCGAAACTAAACCAGGAAGAGGAGCAGCAGCAGTCAGCGAGTGCAGGGTGTCCTCCAGCTGTACAAAAGCCTCTCCTGTGTGAACCAGAGCTCAGAGCACTGCAGGGATGTGCATGTGTGCGTATACATAGCAAGGTGAGGTGCAAATATCCTCCCAGCCAGATCATCTCTTGCACAACTCTCCAATCTTGTGCAGCCTGGCAGACCTTTTGTTTTTCCCTCAGCTGCTCATCTCCAAACATGCCTCTAGAGCAGAGCTTCTGAAGAGCTGCTTCCTCCTATACATCTCCCTGAAAGCAGCTCTCTCCAACAAGAGGCAGTGACCACCAGCATGGAGGGAATGATGACAATGAGGATGTGGATTGAGCCGGTGGTTGCAAGCTCTCAAGTGGCCAGTGCCTTCTACGACACAGCCCTGCTGCTGGTGGTGAAAAACTACTACAATCAGACCAATGGCACTGCTCCTTCCCATGCACTAGAAGACGCTCAGCAGAAGGCTGTTTCTAATTTTTATATCATCTACAACCTTGTTCTGGGCCTGAGCCCGCTGGTGTCAGCCTATGGCTTGTCCAAGCTGGGGGACAGGATACATGGGAAGATCCCCATCTGCTTCCCTCTTCTTGGTTATTTGGGCTCCAAAACTCTCCTGCTCCTCCTGATCCTGCTGGGCTGGCCAATCGAGGTGATGTATGGGGCTGCTGCCCTCAACGGGCTGACGGGAGGCTTCACCACACTTTGGGCAGGCATCATGGCTCTGGGCTCCCTGGGCTCCTCCGAGAGCAGGAGGTCCCTGCGGCTCATCGTTATTGAACTGGTGTATGGCCTCGCTGGGTTTGGGGGAAGCATGGCATCTGGCTACCTCTTTGTTGGCTTCAGTGACCACTACCGAGAAGGCACTGTGCTGGTGTGCTGCAGCATCGCTTGCTATGCTTTCTGCCTCCTCTACAGTATTTTCATCCTGACAGTCCCCAAGCCAGGAGCCTCCTGCCCAGCCAAAGCCAAGGGTGCAGAAGAGGTGGGTAGCCAGCTACCAGCCCATACAGGAGCAGCAGCAGCAACAGGGAGTTCCCAAACTTCAGGTGGCAGCAGCTCCTCTCTAGTATCCCCCTCAAAACTCATCATCATCCTACTGTTTGTGGCAGCAATCCTCTACGACCTTGCTGTAGTTGGTGCGATGAACGTACTCCCACTGTTCTTGCTCAGGGAGCCTTTAAGTTGGAATGCTGTGGAGATCGGCCATGGCAATGCTGCTGGGTATGTGATCTTCATCACCAGCTTCCTAGGGGTATTGGTGTTCTCCAGATGCCTCAGGGACATTACCATGATCATGATCGGAGTAGTATCGTTCAGCACCGGCATCCTCATCATGGCCTTTGTGAAGTGGACATTCCTGTTCTACATTGGTGAGTAAAAGCCACTCACATGGCAAATGCACCCTGAGAGAGGGGTGTTCCAGCACCACTGGAAGGGCTTTTTGCTCCACTTCACCACAGGTTTCCAAGCAGGGAGTTAGACCATCACATGAGCAATATGCAAGAGAACATTACTGTTACCCTTTCCCCACATCTCCCATTGCACTCTTACACTCTGCACCCTACAATATCCACAGGAGGCATATACTCCTGCCAAGGCTTAGTTTAAGGCCAGTTGACTTGTAATTTGTCACTTGATCATAGACCAGACCTGAGCAGGGGAACAATGTTCATGCTCTGTGGGAATGGGAATTACTCCTGACTCCCTGTACTAGCTGGACCACATCACCATATCAATGGGAAGCATTTGCTTCTTCTGAGGTAAGGCTAAACCAGAAACAAAATGGCAAAGGCTTCCTATTAAGCAAACATATTAAGATGGGATTTATTTTTGTCCTATGAAGGCTCTTATGGCTGATTGGAAACTTAATGAAACACTGGAGCTGCTTTAGCAACTAAAATATCATAATAAGGTAGTTTACAAAACCCACACTATATATAAATGAGCAAGGGACTGATAATAATAGATGGGGTTGCATCCAATGATAAGGGAAAGGCAAGTTTATTTTTGGGAGGTAACCTCTGATGGAACACAGAAAATAAAATCCAAGAACTGGGTTTTTGTGGCAGAAATGCCTGACAGAGTATCATGTATTGCATGGCTTTGAGGTTTTGCTTCTGAAAGTCGGAAAAAGACTGAAGATAAATGGCCTGAAGCAATTTTTTCTGTCTGCCCCTACAGGGAATGAGAAATTGAAAATTAAACAAAGTTATTCTAAATGGAAAGATGATAGAATATTGTAGTTGGGTGGTAAGCCAAATACTGAGTGAAATTTTTAAGAGATTTTGCTTATTTAGGCAATCAGGCTGGGGAATAAAAGATTAAAAAAAAAAAAAGGTAAAAAAAAAAAGCTTGTTCATCATCATGAACACATGCTGCTATACAGTGTATGTAGTGTTATTGCACGGCAGAAGACACTGCATTGCAGAAGCATCTTGGTACACTAGACATGGACCAAGTCTTCCCTGAGGTTGGCTCTGCTGACAGGAGGGTAATTCCAGCTACCTATAAATTTCCACGCTAGAAAAATATTGCAAGCCAGAAGTGCCAAGATAAAAGACAACAGTAGTGTTATAAAGATACTGTTCCAGTCAAGGCTGTGTAGTACTGGGGGCTCTGTCTGCTGCTTAGACTCAAATCACCATCCTTACTATCTCTAAGGACAGTGCTATATTCCACCTCTGCTGGGATGTCTGGCCAAGACCAAGAACCTATGTCTAGTTTGGGCAAAGTGCCTTTGCTAATGGGAGCAAGGGGTTGCTTATCCACCTTGTCTTGAAGTGAGGACCTACTTCTTTCTGGCACTCAAGGCACAAAAAAAAAATGAAGCAAAGTGCTTGCCCAAGCCAGAGGCATGTAGTCTTCAAAAGCAGTGGCTGCTGTGCTAGGTAACAAAGAGCAGGTACTGATGATAACTATAAATTCATTGCATTACAGCACGGGCAGTGATGCTCTTTGCCCTCATCCCCTTACCAACCATCAGGTCTATGTTGTCCAAGCATGTCGAAGGATCATCCTATGGTAAGTATTTGTTACCTTACCAATCAAAAAAACCCCACAAATCCCTTGATTCAGCCTAGAGGACAAAGAGAAAGGTTAAGTTATTGCTGCAATGTGTGCTTTGCGTGATAATAACAGGACAGGTGATACCACAAATGGGAAGGGAGGAGCAGAGAAACCTGCAGGACAAGATTGTCATATCCAATCTTCTTGTCCTTGCTTGCATCATCATTTATCCACAGAATTTTCAGCACGTGCATTGAAAGATTACTATCAGTGTGTAGGTCAAAGGCAGGGAAAATAATTGGGGTGCTGCTCAAAAACACAGTACTCCAGGGAAAAGCAAGAGAAGCAGGACCTTGAGTTGAAGCACTGTGATATTCACACCATTTATATCTGGCTTCTTTTACTTAATGCTTTGGGAAGGATGGATTTCTTTCATCTTTTTTTTTATGTTCTCCAAACATTTTTTCTGAATGTTTTGGCAATTTGTCACCCTCAGACCATGATTTAACTACAAAAAATAAATTTCTCATAAAAATTGACCCTTTTTTGAACATAGCAGCAGGAATTCTTTTCCATTAGAGAATTTACTACAAAGTAGTAAAATATATTTTACAACAGTGTATTGAAGGTGCCATTTTTACACCAAAGAGCTAGATTTAGATACAAGAGACATTTGTTCAAATACCACCACAGGCCCCCAACTACTTGTATGTCCTCCAAACATTTTCCCACAGCCATCCTTCACAACCCTGTCCTTTCTGCCTTAGGTATGTTGCCTAAGTGGCTGTGAGGAAAAAAAGACTCCAAGCCAAATTAGGTAGGAGATAAGATAAGGGTACAAAAGTTTTAATGAGCCCCCAGGCTTTTTGGAATACCCCAGCGCTCCCAAAATACAGATGTTCACAGTTTTTATAATGATTTTCGCCCAATCCCCGTCCTGCCACCACCCAGGTTCTGCCCCCCCCACACCTCTTGGGAATTGGGTCTGTGGGCGTTTTGGGACCCCCTCTTCTTCATCTTCATCTTCCTCAGAGCACGTAATGTCCTTGGAGGCCTTCCAGAATTCTAGGCCTGAAGGTTGTTGGGTCTATGGCTATATCTTCTTCCACAGGGTTAGGGTGTTCTTCTACAATTCTACCTTGAAAAAGAGACTAAACAGGCTATGGAATTTAGGGAATTGATATGGGAATGGGTAACAGGGGTTTGAGCTGGTGTGTTAAGTGTTAAGGGATAATATGCTGCTACTCTAAAATCTACATTTACTACATAACTACTTCTAAGGTCTACAAAAATAAAAAAATTAAAACATCAAAACTCCAAGGTATCAGGTACACGACACTGTTGTGTAAGCAACTCATTCCCACTGCTTGTGCTCCCTCAATGTGCACTGTAGCAAAACCATCTACCTGCCACAAAGAGCACAGCTCACACCCCAAGTAATTATTATTATTAATCATAACATTGTTTTTAACCTCTACCACAAACCATACGGGCTGCACCTCAGGACAGTGGTAGACCAGATCTTAAGCAGGACCCTGCAGCAGAGCAGCCATTGCCTCGTGGTAGCAGTCTCATCTCCTTAGGTGGTGGAAAAGGCTACCAGGGCAGCAAGCTCAGCACACAGCCCTGATCTTGCTCCCAGTTTGCATATCTCAGCTGGGCTGCATTACTTCCCCTTCACCCATTTATCATAAGAGAAACACTTCAGAAAAAGCTGTTTCAACTAGAAATCAGTCTCTGCCTTTCTTCCCCATGAAACAACATACAAATCATACATACCTCCCCATTTCAGGTATTATTATCATTTCAACCCTGTGGACCGCTCTTCTGGCCTAGGGCAGGAGCAGACAGTGACTAAAATCTCTCCTGAAGATGTTTCTACCTTCTAGGGAAAGGAGCACTTATTGCCCAGTTTACTGCTGTTTTTCCAAGCAGCTACCTTTACATTTAGACTCTTTAAGCAGTTTTCCAGCTGGATCTTTTGTCCTATATCTAAAAGAAGGAAAAATGATTTAACTGTGGCCGAGAACAGAGGCAGATACAAGCTCACGTCAGCTGGTGTTTCTGAAGCAACGACCACATTGCTCTTCCACACAGCTGTGATCCTGGATTTGTCAGGAGGTACCATGGCTCATTTTTTTAATCCCCAATAACAAACTGTGTTCTTGTTTTACAGGTGAGGTGTTTGTCCTGCTGCAGCTGTCTTTAGTCATCACAGGAGTAGTGACATCTACAGTCTATAACAAGATCTATCAAAACACTCTGAACTGGTACAGCAGCTTCTGCTTCATTTTGTCTTTTCTAGTTGGCTGCCTGAGTCTCCTACCTTTAAGGTAAGAAATAGGAAAGGCTTTATTCAAAAGGACATGCTGTATTTTCTCCATGCTTCCTCATTTTAGGTCTAAAGTGTATAATATAGGTGGGGAAAAAAATTTAATTTAAAATGAAAAAAATTGGAAGAAACAAAGAAACTTGCAGAAATGAGTTGACAAATATCCAGGAGATTCAGAGAATGAAAGCTGCAACATCTAGCCAGTGTTTTTTTCAATCTTTTTTTTTTTGTTGTTTAGTGTAGCATGAATAGCTGTAGGAGGAATATTTGGCAGAGTTTAAGAGCTGATAATCCCAGGAAACAATGCCTTCACACAAATATAAGTGCTTGATACTGTGAAGATAGCAGTAAGTAGAATGAAGGAATAATCCTACACAAAGCAAAATGCTTTTTAAAAATTCCACTACAGGTTTACTTACTTAGTGTGATAGAAAAGAATAATCAGTTTCCCTCAGGGTTTTCTTTCAAAAAGAAACCATTACCACAGTGAAGGAAAACGTTGTTTTTCTGATGCACTGACTTTGCCCAACTGTACTGCTACAGAGTGACTGAGAGGTATAGTTTCAAGAACAAGTTTTAAGCACAAAACCAGCATAATTTGAAGAGAGAAGGCTGAAATAGCATCTCCACCCGCTTTTCCAGAATTTTTGAAGTATTTGTCTCCAAATCTCACCTTGCCTATCATCCCCTTCCCAGGATGCTCCAGCTTGTTGCACTACTAGGAACAGCATGCTTCTTTCATATGAAATGCAATGTGATAACATCAATATTTAATCCATGCAACAACAATATTTTCATTCAGAAATAGGGCAGATGCTGTATCAGCTGATGTCTGATCCCAGGCAAAATTCTTGCCCAGCTTTGCTATAATTTAAAACAATATAGTAGTAGAAAGTTAAAAGGCACTATGTATACCCACTTCAGTGGTATCACTTGAAGAAAAGAAAAAGGAACACTAAGGAAAGCTCTTACATCACCACCTGTTTTATTCAGAGCACCAAAGGCTTTCTGAGCTTGTAAACACACTTGACAACCGGTGTCAGCAGGACTACTAGGGTGGGGAAGGCTACATCATACTCATCATTCCCCTGGTTCTGCTGTCCTTGTCATATTTCCCAGACACAAAAGAGTTGTTTCTTACACACAACCCTCTGTTTAACAGAGGGTCACTGATTGGTACTCAAATTTTTAATGCTGGTTCAAGTTATTAGGGATTATTAGGACTTCAAGTCTGAAATGTGACAACTGGTGCCAATATCATTACTGGTACATTGAAAGGAATCACATTAGCACTCAGCCAGCTTCAGATACCCCAGTAAAGTTTAAGATATAGGTGGGGAGAAAGCAAACTGCAGTTTCAGAAAGTACTTTGCTAATTTTCTTATAACATGCATTTTTATTGTTCTTTACAGCTTTGTGGCCATCAAACAACGTTCAACCACTGGCTCCCTTCAGATTCTGACTGAGTGACAGAGGCATCTTTATCAACTCTCTGAGCTACCAAAGTGGAAGGTTTGCCAAGCATTAATCCCCAGTTACCAACATTACCAGAACCGTATCGTCTGTATTTCCATTTCACAGCATGCCACAGCCTCTCAGTCACCAAGCTCACCCAAGAAAAGAAGCTTTCCTTGTTACTTCTGCAGTACCTCATCTTGCAGAGTATGTGCATTGGCTGTTGCACACCAGCAGTCCTCAGAGCATTCTGTTTTTCTGCTGGGCTGGTTAGCAATAGCACAGAGCTACAATAATACAGGAGTGTTTCTAGACACACCATTCAGTATGGAAGGGGAAAACAGAGGATCAGTTTTCCATTAGTTCCTTCCTGTCTATTCATTCAGAAACCTCAGGGCACTTCTCTGACTTTGGCTGATGAAACTGGGGGCTGCAAACCACAGGCTATGTGCACAAAGCCATCAGCAGGACACACCAGCTCTCTGGAGTGCTACAGAAGATGTGACCAGCACAGCCAAATAATGTTACATGAAAGACCATTAAATACAGAAATACCACTGTAAAAAGATGTAAGATTAAGACACTTTTAGTAATCCCTACAATAAAACACTCCTGAACAGATATTCGTTCCCCTGACTTCTGGGAGATTGTTCCACTGTCCCTGGACAGTCCTTCAACAGAGCTCACGGGACTAAGACTCAAGAGCCAGTGCTGGTGTTTCAGCTCACACCACCAGGATGTGCTACTCTTGTAACATGCTAAGAACAGGTAAGCACAGCACACTACTCCCACAGGTTTTGTGGAGGTGTAGGGACACCGCTACGAGGCAATAGTCACCTTGTTACCTCAGCTTTAATCTGGGTTGGAGAGGAACCTCATACAACACAGCAACTAGAATGTGATGTTGTCAGATAAATCCAAAGATGAGTCAAAAGTCTGGCATGCTTCACAAGAATGTGTTTGCTTCCACACTAATTGAACTAACAACGACTAAGTGGCTTCCAAGGTCCTGGACTAAGTAAAGGGAAGTTAAAAGCCCTTCAGTAACTGAAATAATCTGAAGGCAAATCAGGCAGCTTCAGTTCAAGCCAGGGATGCAGCAAGAAGAAGTTGGTTATTCACTATGCAACCCGATGTTCTGAGGAAGTTGCTGCCACCCAGTTCCTCCCCACACACACTTGCCATCTTTCCTCAGCTCCACACTTCACTTTCAGTAGCAGAAGTAATGCAGCAACAGATGACTTCCAGTTAAATCAACTGGAACAAAATTTTAGGGAAAAGGTATTTCTACAGTATGATAGTGAGCTGCTCAACAAAATAAGCACACACATCATTTCAATGGTGAAGGCTGCAAAAAATGAAACTTTATTCTAAGTAAAGGAGTCCTATTTTAATACATTTATTGGTCCATTCCATTAAATTAATTGAGGTAAACAAATGGTGCATTTTAAAAAAATTGTACACACTAATAGAGAATTACAAACAGTTTTACCTCAAAATGTTTTTCTCCATCAACACTAGTTCCATAGTAAACAATGCACAAGGTATATTTATACAGAGATATATGAAAGGGTATAGAAACATGCCAGCACCAGAAGGCAAGACAACATTTCCTAGCCTGTACGTCTGAACAAGAGCACAGTTGCCAGATTTGGTCAAGTGCAGGAAACAAAAGCCTCCTTCCCATTTTTACACTGTTTACTAGCTAATTCACACAGAGACAAGTCTTTTCACAGCTTTCATTTTGTTTTTAAATGGTATCAACAGCGACTCTAGTTCTGGTGAGTGGATTTACAGAGGCTGAAACCAGAAGAGTCTGGAAAATGAGCCAGCACCATTTCAGTCCCAGCACTGACCCCTTCAACACAATGTGTGAGGCTCACAGCCAGCTTACCTTCAACTGCACGGCCCAACTCTCCAGACCTTAAAGAGGGACAGAGGGATGCAGGCACAGAAGACACGAGAACAAGGACAGTGTTTCCTTATTTTTGTATACTACAGACAAAAGCCCTTTGGCTCTTTGTTATTACAGGACTGTCAGCAACCTGCCTCCTTGTGCAGTGGGAATGTGGCACTGACCCCAACCCTGCTGTTTGATCTGAAGGTATGGATACATATCCCAGCAGCAGAGTTAAGGAAACAGTTTAGTTTCAAAGCACAGAGTGCCAAGACCTTTAAAGTAGCGTAGGACGGCAACTAGCCTTTATTGTTTCAGCATGCCACTTACATAAGGGTGATCTACATCTACCTCTTTGGAAAGTGCATTATTTTCTGCACAAATACTGTGCCCTAGGCATGCAACCTTAAAACTTGTCCAGTTCATTACCAAGTACTTGTATGACTCAGACACCTCAGTAAGACTTCAAAGTGCTAAGCACAGAATTAAGCATTGCCACTTTAGTCTGTAAAGCTGGTTAAACAGCACTCCCAAAAAATTTTAAATGCAACATTCAGTCTGCCAGAAGGCAAGTTTATTCCTGTGATCCCCAGTTTAACTTCACAAAACAAACAACAAAAATAATCTCACAAGTAGTAGCAACTCCCCTATCTTTAAAAAAAGTCCTTATTTTCCCTACGTATTGGTTGTTGTAGTAAAAGTTATAATACCAGAAGAAAGACTGTTCTACCTTCAGAATTTAAGACGACTGAACATCTACTGAGCTAGCTTAGTCTATGCAATTTTGCTCAGGGGCTGTCAGCACCAGGATTTTAAACAGTATGCAACATTAATCATAACCGTATACAGTTAAAATATACAAGTTTTAACAAAAGCATGGCTCCTCTTAAAACACTGGACAGTGCCTGCTGGTCTGGGAGAGAATTCTTTCATGCGTTGGGATCTGCAGGACTGATGCCTGAAGCAATATGCAACGTGAACAGGCTATGCAGAGCCACTGCTGCAAGGCTACAGCACAGTACCTCCACAGAACTGTCTCTGCCGCTCATGCTTTGTGGATAATTTTTTCCTACCACTTATCACACTGCTTTATCCTTAGAACAAGCATTAGTCCAACAAAAATCCAAGTAGTCTTCAGTGAAGAATCCATAGTTTATTCCTTAATACAATTCACATCAGAATAGTTTGTGTCTCTAGGGCTACACCTATTACCTTTTCATTTTTCAATGTGTACCTGAAAAAGCCATGATGTTTTAACATCTGTATTTATTGCAAGATTTAGAGCCTGGTAAAGATATACATGAACAATGCATGGTCCATAACTGAGCACAGAAACAAGTGCTTGCTTTATTGTGCTGGTGCCACTTAAGAGAAGAAACAAACATCCCCAAAAATAACCAGGACAGCAGTGAATTATGTATCCTCCAAGAGAGATCTTGGCCTGGCTATGGATTAAAAGGAAAGCTGGGATGATTTAAGGACTGCTGAAGAAACCAAAGGCTCACAACAAGGATGCCAACTACTTTTGATGTCATTTCGGTGCACATGCAGAGGGTGATCTAAGTGACTTAACATCCAAGAAGTTACACAAAGATGAAGCTCCTGCACTACTCCTGATTCCCTTTAACAACACCTTTTACTTCTCTCATGAAAGTGTGGGCCATCCAAAGACTCATATGCCATAATAATTACAGGATAACATATCAAGAGTCCAGCTCTTGACCTCTCACTAACAGCAGTTAGGTGAGGCTTTACAAGTGTTACTCTGTACATCTTACAGCAATTTCTTGTAACTTTTGTAGTTCTCCCGATTGCCCCAAACATTGAAGTCAGGAACCCTCGCCACACCTCACAGCCTCTCCCACAGCTACCTTGTGATTTACAACAGCTCTTCATAAAAAGACACCACTCCATAGCTCGAAGGAGCTGAGACCCACCATTGCACACCGTTCTTACACTTCAATTTTTGCAGGGGACTTCTCTTTTGAATGTGAAGTTTTACTTCCCTTGTATATGCTTAAGAGAGGTTTTAGTGTTTCAGGCCATATAATATATCCTGTTAATGCCCACTGCCTGACGTGCCATGTTCCAGCCTCTCCTCCAAATTAACCTGCAGTTGCCACAGTGCCACATACTCCAACAGGAAAGTGCAAAGTGTGCCCACCTTCCCAGCAGCATAGCCAGAAAGGGATTTGTCTGAAATCAAAATGTGCTTCGGATGAGGACAAGTTTAAAAACCATACCACAAAATCAGTGGCATTGGATGGAATAAAATTCCAGCTGATGTTCAACAGCTCCAGCCTCAACAGTTAACATGCTGATTTGAACTTCACCTGGTACTCTCCACTGTCCGTTATGCTTCTCATGAACAGCTGTGATGTTAATTGTAAGTTCCCCAGAACCAACACCCACTTCAGTCTGACATAAAACTAAGTGGGAACAGGATGTCAGTTTTGTAAGGTATCAGATGAAACCACCTGTAGGAAAAACCCACCAGCCTTTCTGCTCATCTTTTGCTGGTATTTTTTTTCAATAAGATGGAGGGAACTAAGTATTAGTTCAAATTATATTTTGCTTGACTCCCAGTGATGTTGTACAGTCAACTACAAAATTCCATTTGCCACACAGGAACCAACTCATAAAGCATGTTGATCTGTTTGTGGAATACAGGGAAGACTGCAGTCCTAAAGGTCAGACTCTTAGATAGTATGCAAGTGCTTATTCTAGAAGGAAAGACTGCTTCAAGATGATCCCCCTAAGTATTTCCCTTGCACAACAAGAGTAGTCTGTTATTCTGAACCTAACAACCTAAAGCAGAGTTCTCATTTACACCAAGTAAGTGTATATTGACAAACTGAGTTTAAAACAAGAAGCATAGTTTGTTTAGTACCACAGAGTTGTCAGTGAAGGCTGAATTAAAAAGGAAGACCTCTTGAAATGTCTTAAACTTGACTTTTTCATACAGAGAGCACAACTTCATTAGCCTGAGAGCTACCACAGTACCAAGCTGAATTGGGTGGCTGCAGGTTAACTTGGTGTTCATGAAGGGACAAATTCCAAACCAGACAAATTCCAAACCTGATAGGTTGTTACAGGAGAACACAGAAGTTGGACATTCTCAATTACTGCTCAGATTCTTTGCAAGAATGTTGCCAGAGATCATGCAATCACTAAAATTTAGCTGTAAGCAATGAGTTATTTATTCCCCCAAATCCAAATATTACACTGATATGAGTCCCAACCCCCACCCCCACCCTTAGGATGGTTAAAAAAGATTTATCTGCATGCTGTTAAACCAAGACTCTAGGACCATGGGAATCACATCAGCATTCCTAAGGCCACTAACACCAAATAGGCATTTACTTGAGGTTGGACTGCAAGAGAAAGGAGAAAAAAAGGGACTTGCAGAAGCAGTTACATTTCTTAAGGCCAATAAAAACAGATCTGTACCGAAAGTAGTCTTAAAAGACTTGCCATGTGGTTCAGCAGAGACAGATATGAACTCTCTGTACCTACCAGGGTACCCATCCACCCCCCACCAACCCATTTTAGGCAAGTTTCACACGCACTGATGCTTGGTGGAAGCAAACATTTGACACTTTTTGGCTTTTGGCTGCTGCAAAAAAACACATGGGGAGAGGAAGCAGAGTTCTACCTTTATTACAGCAGGCATCTCAAGTCACCAAGCCTCAAATGGCTCTAGTAACACGCATATTTAAATTAAAGCATGGTCTAAGAGAATTGCACCATGCAACTTCTGGAGCTAGCTTTAGAAAAGTTAAAGACTCGTACTTCCTCCTCCACTCCCACAAAAGGGGCCCTTGAAAGGTCGATGTTCACCTCATTCCCACAGCTCGGCTGATCCTGGTCCCCGAGTCAGTCACAAGTATACTTCAGCCAACTGACATTGCTTCATAATCACCAAGGTAAACAAAGAAACTCAGTAGGAACCAACAGCATTCCACACTCACAAAAACCACAGTTCATGCTCGCATCACAGGCTATCTGTGGGTGGTGGTGGTATGTTCTAAGACCAGACCAACTCCCAGACAGAAAAATCTCCAGAGACCATTTTATCCAGAGGAAGAATATGGGCCATAGCAAAACTGAAAATATTCTTTCCCAGTCTTTCCCTGTCCACTCAAAAAAAAAAAAAAAAGGATAAGGATTGGTTAAGGAGTACGGTATCACAGAAATAATTTTTTTCTTTTTTAGCAAACAAAACAATGGTAATAAAGATGTCATTTGGCACCTTGCAGTAGAGTTTTATTTTCATCTTTTTAGTGTTCCACTCATCAGTTCCTTCCAGACTAGAGAGGTAAGTTTTATCAAGATCCCCATGCACTTTCTCTATGAAACCCCAATCACTCCATAGGATAAAGAAGGAACCATTCAAGATAACTCAAAAAGATGAAACATACCCCAGTTTTAACACAAAAATTGAGGAAAAAAAATTCAAACAGTTTTCAGAGCGTCTGTTCCAGCCTAAGTGCAGCTGTCATTTCAGTTAACTTGACAAAAAGAGTCCTTCATACAGTTCCAGTATGTCTAGTGGTACTGAGCATAGAAGTGCTAGACTGTCCATGAAGGTACTTCTTATTTGGTCTCTGGCTTGTCTTGCAATAGTGGTATAATTGACTCCCACGCCGTAAGGCACTGAAGAAAGAAATACAGATTTAACAAATGGGTTTTACATCAGTTCTTGTAACTTCTCACTAACTCTTCCAGATCACGAGAATGCAAGTTAAAGAAAAGCTATTGGGTCTTCACAGATTAGTACAGAAATGAAAAAAAAACAAACCCAAAACCAAAAACCACACAAAATCTCAAACAGCAAAAAAAGGTGTTAGAGTAGTTGCATCTTCCAAACAAATCAAACAAATTCACATTTTCAAAAGCTGTCAGCTGGCCCAAGCCATTAGAAATCATCAGAATACCTGGGATTTCCCAACACCAATCTAAATTCTTCTACACTGAAGAACACCACAGCTTTCAGTTAGAGAGACAAACTGTTGCTGGTAGAAATGTACATCTTTGTAGTGTGACTGTGAGGGAGGGCTGACTGGGACACAATGGCAGCTATTACAGACTACCTCCAGCAAATTTATTTGAAAAAACCCCATGCATTTAGAGAAGGTAGTTCTGAGACACTGTATTCCAGTACAGCTCTGGGACTTGACTCCACTGACTGATAAATTGGTAGTGCCTAGTATAGTAAACTAGAAGTGGAGTCTAGCTTCTGGGTTATTAAAAAGTCACTCCAGGCTTAGGAGTCATTTACCCAGATGTGTACTTAACTCCAGTCCTTGTACTGTGTGTCATTACTGTCTTTCAACCTCAAAGCTCAGAAGTCAAACTGAACAAATACAGATCATGGAATACCTATTATTAAATGCTGGGAATGTGTAAACTCATCACCAGCTCTTATATCCACAAGTTCCTGTTGTGATACATCTTCATTCTAACCTTGCTGATTGTACTGCAGGTGTACAATTATTTCTAGTTGTGTACTCTGAAGTGACTATATGCTTTCCTACAGAAAAAGTTTCCTTGCTAAGAGCAAAACTAACAGATTTAAATGTCCATTGCAGAAGCACTGCTCAGAGAAGTCTCTAATATCTCCCTCCACAGCAGCCTTAGACAAGACCAGGATGAAGGAAGTTCTGTGGGACTAATTATAACTACTGATATGAAAGACATTCAAAGGGGAAAAGGTACTGCATACTAATCCTACACAGACAGGTAACTTAGCACAGGAAGAAGCTTGTAACATAGATGTGGAAAAAATGAACAGGCAAGATGAAGTATTGCTATGCATGAGCCTAGTAGCATTTAATATGTCCTAATAATTTAATATACCTGAAGCAGGCTTACAAAAGAGCTGGAGAGGGACTTTTTTACAAGGGCTGTAGTGACAGGACAAGGGGCAATTGCCTTAAACTGAAAGAGGCTAGGTTTAGATTAGATAATTAGGAAGAAATTCTTTACTATTAGGATGAGGAAGCACTGGAACAGGTTGCCCAGAGAAGCTGTGGATGTTCCATGTCTACCAGTCTTTAGTTCAGGTTGGATGGGGCTCTGAGCCACCTGCTCTATGGGCAGGCACCCCTGCCTATGGCAGAGGGTTGAAACTAGATGGTCCCTTCAAAACCATTTTATGATTCTATGATATCAAGCACTGCATCCTGTGATATCATGCACTGCTCCAGCATGCATGGAAACTAGACTGGCAGTATCTGCAGTTAAATATCAAGTTAAAAATTTCAGTTAAAAATAAAAAAGTAAACAAATCTGATATCAAATCTCAGATACACATGCACCAACTGAAAAAGAGCAGAGGCACCTGGCTAGGTATTTTCAGGACTAGCATACATGGGACTAAACTATGCACAAAGGAACAGAGACTAGAATAATTAATATATACCAAGTGTAATCTATATATGAGTCCATGCATGTGTATTAACTCACGTAATTTTGTTCATAAAAGGCAGAATCAAGAGATTCTTCTACTCTGATAGTATTACTAGAACATGCAGTTTTGGTCTTTTTCATCACCACTGCTGCTGCTCAGTAATTTGTTCAGTTCACGAGTGCAAAACAGACAAGCGTGCATGATGAAATGCTCTTTGAGAGCTGACCACTAGTCCTACAGAGATGATTTGACCATGAATAGCAATTCATTACTCTAAGCTGATGACAAAGAGCAGCTTCCACAGCACTAGAGAACTAATTTAGATGTCTAATATTTCTGTCTTCAAGACAGTGTGAAGATTTCCCAAAGAATCATCACCACCTCAGAGAAAAATAAACTTCTCTTATTCCTGCCAAATATCCAAAAGTGGCACATACCTTCTCGTAGTACTGGATGTTTTTATCCGCCATCCCCATGAGTAGCTGCCTAAAGTCTTGTCTTTTGTTGTTCTGCCATCTCTCCATATCTGCTTTCAGGTCAGCATTGAAACATTCTACTCGGTCTTGACATTTCTCAACATCTGTGGGTACCTGCAGCAAAAGAAATGAAGATTAAAACTGTCACTGAGAGCTAGATTGCTGACTTAGCTCAAACCTTACTGAGCAAAGCCACAGAAGAAAAGTAAGTGTAACTTCCGGGAGTTACCCTGAATAAAGTCAGTTATGGCTGCAGGGAAACAAGCCACATTTCACAACTAGAGAGGTTATGAGATTGCTTGACTTGTTCTTTGCTGTTTGAGGTGGTGAGCATTTGTGCTTTCCATCTCCATGCCTGATACAGTGGCAAGTGGAGGAAGCACTTGCTAGAAGCACATGAAGAGGAAAAAAATTTTCGTGTAAGTGCTGGGTACCTAGCCTCAGTTCCAAGTGCTCAAACTGAGCAGTTTGGCTACAGGTCCACAGAAAACCTTACTCCTTCCCATCTACAGCTGCACAAGGCGTTTCCCAATTTACACCAGTGTGTATAATATAACCAACATTTAGTTATTTAGTCCAACATTTAGTCCAAAAAGCTGGATAACAGACCTCAGTGTTCTCTCTTAAGAACTGGAAAATAAAATTCCTAAGTCTCTAGTTTCCAGTTTTAACCTTACAGGCTCCCTTTCCTAACTGGAAAGGACTCATGATCATCACTCTGGACTGGCTCACAGACCTCTGGGCTCAGCACTGGGCATGCAATCATACAAAAGCAATGAGAGAAATGTTGAAGGACAGCCTATTGCAAGCCAGGTAGAGATTTAAATGGATGATGACAGCAGTCACTGGCCCTAAGTGCATGTACTTTAGGCCAACTAAGTTGGTGTTCTTTGCTCATGTTTTAACTAACATCATGTATAACACCAGGCAATCACAGGAACAATTTACAAGTGCCTCTTCAAGCAGGAAGCCCATGAACACCTTTCTCTCCCTTCTCCTTATGCTGTATGGTCCACACAGAGAGGAATCCTGTAAGGACATGTAGCCAAAGTCCATGACCTCAGAAGAGGAAAGCCCTGAATCCTGGTAACAACATGAGAAGTGACCTTTTGCTCTGAAAGCTGTGACTTGTGCAAAGGCAAAAGACAAAATGAAGAACATTTGCAGAACTTTGTAGTGGCTCCTCATACTTGATACCTTCAGTAAAATCCCTTTTTCTCTGAGGGGTGTTAGAGAAGGAAGAGGATGAACAGACTGTAAGAAGCTTTTCATAGGTAACTACAGGAAGCTAGAGGTGTGCTACTACCTTGCAGTTTGGCAAGGTAGTCAATTTAGGCAGAAACTAACAAACAGTTGTTAATTCTTCTCCACGATGTGAATCAGGGGTGATCACTGAAGTATTGCATGGACTCAGAGAAGGTCTTACATTTGCTCTCCAATAAAGCTGTTTGAGAGACAGGAGTTGTTCATACTCATGGGATTTGAGTTCCCCTTTATTAATACAACTGAACATACACTACAAGCAGCTTGGGAGTTAGTAGATAGCCTTTCACCCCACCCTGTCTGAGCACTACTGGCTACAGAATTCACTCTGCTAGAACTCCTCACAAAGTTCTCTCATAAGCTTCAGACAAGAACTACCAAGCTTGTGGCTGGAAGGTTTAGAAGATGCTCCCCTCAAGGCAAGTATGCTTTGCATGTTAAGTACTCTGCTTAATAGGAAAGGCTAGGCTATCAAGAGAAAGGTTTATGAAGTCTGGAAATCAAATCAAGTAAGATTTCCCAATGCAATTAAGTTATCTTCTAAGCACCGACCAGCTTGCTGCTGCTTCTTCCAGGATCTGAAACCACAATGAAGCTATACAAAAATATGTTCTTTCTCACAGCTAGTTCTCCTGCAGGTCAGACTGAGAGGGCTGTAGGAGTTTGGAGCTACAGGGACAACCCAGTGGTCACAAATGGGTCACATATGCTCTCACTGAGGAACAACAGCAATTAACTCCAGCTAAGTCTCCACAGGCATCCTCATGATCCTCCTCATCCACTCCACATGAAAGCAGTGTCTGCACATGCAGCAGTCCTGTTTAGGAGTGCCTTTCCTTACAAAAGTGCAGCTTCTCAGAACATTCTTTGCAACTCAGTAGCTGAGACAAACTTTTAAGTTAATTAGTAGGTTTTAAGCACTTTATATCTAGTGCAAAGACATCAGTGCTGATGTTTTTGTCTGCTCTTACCAGTAGAAACACTAAATATTAACTAGCAACTAAGAACTGGGCAGAAAGCAGACTGGACTTTGGGGAAGTTGCTACTTTCTTACCAATGTCTGTTCTCAGCTACTGGAATAGTTCAAAAACTCCTCAAACCAAAAAACCAAAGTGATAACTGGTTTCAACTCCAACACACTCTTCAACGGCCCATGACTATTTTAGTGAATCAGCTTCAACTTATGAGAGATGTATATGCAGGAAAGAACTGAGCATAAAAGTGTATATTCAGGAGTCTGGTGACCTTGCTATATGATAAGAAGTTCTGCACATACATCTAATCCTCTTCCCATTGATTCTGTTCTCTTAAAAAACTAAGAGTGCCTCACGTTTGTAATTTTGTGTGGTCACATACAGATGGCATGTCCACTTTAAAATTCCTCTAGAGCATCATTACAAAGGAACAAATCGTTCTGAAGCAGAGAAAATCCAGCATATATTAATATAAAATAACAGCATATGCTATTTCTACCTTCCTAATTCTCTGGCAATAGATAATGCTACAAGGCTTCCCCCACCCCCCGGTAAATACATATGGTCACCTTCTACTTCAAGTACTGCACTGCCATAGTTACTGTTCCCATAGACCAACACACTTCAAACCCTTGAGGCAGACGAAATAAATCAGGTCATCAGAGGTGAACTTCATCTCACTTAAAGGAAACTACAACTCTCCTTCGCTGCTCTCAGAGACTGAAATAGTTAATGCCTTACACATTGTAAGATCAAACCAAAAGGCTTCTGCAAACTGAAAAGATGCAGCTGCTCACCCAGCAAAGCCCACCCGTCCCTGAATACTGCCAAAGGACCTTCAGATCAGACAACCGGGTGCCACTGTCCAACTATCCTGGGTGCAGGTGCACACCCGAAGCTACAAACGATTTCCATATAAGGGAAGAGGCTAAGAAGCAGCAAATCCCGCAAGGTGAGAGAATCCCTCTTATCATGCCAATGTCCTCCCTTTACATGATAACTGTGCATCTAACCTGAGCTGTGCAACTCAAATGTCGGACCACGATGGACAGGATTGATGCTGACACAACAGACACCTGCAGCTGTCTTAGGACATGTCAGAGACTCATGAGATGTCCTGTGACACTATTCATTGTAAAACTCCTCGGCCTGGGGAGGTACAAGGTGTTCCCACCTGTGCTGGAAGTGTATAATAACTCATAACATCTCTGAGTTGGGGGGGGAAGCTTCCCCCAGCCCCAACAGACCAAGACCCTCCCCTTCTGGGGCAGGTCACAACAACTGCATTGGTGGATTACTGCAAAATCAGCTCCAGCATGGGTCAGGAGTGGGTAAGCAGCACTTCACCACTGCACTTGCGAGAAACTGAAAGACTGCAGACTCTGCACTAATACCGTGATGCTGCTGTTAAACACCACACACATCATGCTTTTGGTGTGAGCTCCAGCATTCTGAGCAGCGCTTCCTGACAGACATTTCCAGCAGCCCTACACGCCTTCTGCAAGCTCTAAACAGATGACCTCAATGCCAGAGTGACCTAATGACACCCAAAGAGCTTTGTGATGCCCGCCAGGGTATGTGCCCAGCGAGGCCTGGAATGCCCTCTAGTGGAGGAGATTATCAAGTAGCCATAGGTCGTCCTCTCATGATCCAAACCTAGGCTTTCTTCCCCTTAAGATTTCATCTGGGTTCTTTTTTACATAATTTCTACCAAATCAGCAAGTACAAGGAACACAAATGCCATTCCACAATTGCAGCTCATGACCCTCTGCCTGCTTTTGGTTTCCAGCAAGTCACAGCCAGGAGATCACACCGAATGTAAGATATGGTGCTAGGCACAGCTCTGAGCTACCAGCTCCTATAGACAAGGGCACTTCCTCCAGGTGCAAAGGATCTGAAAACCACGAGATAATATTTTATGAACATGTAAGGAGTTCTATATAGTTTCTTAAACTTCATCTTACAAATGACACAAACTACTTATGTTTCAAAAAAGGTACAAGGAGTTGTGAAAAGATACACTTATAATCTGGAGAGGAGACGTAGGTATTCAAAAAATTCTCAAGACAGCTATTTAAGTGCTTAATTTTACACAATAATCCCACTGAGATATGAGATCCAAATAGGTGAGAGATTATCAAAGTTCAGCAATTCCACTGCAACAAGATCTTGATAAGAGTCAAATGCCTAAAAACCTCAACTGGCTTGCTAGATATGCTAGGTTTAGTTCCCTCCATCCTAGATACAACTTGTTAGAATACCTGCTTATACAAAGCTACAGAGAGGAAGTACAGTACCTACCACAGCAGTCAGCAGTGGGGCAGGCAAAAGACCAAGATACAAGAACACCGTAAAACACCTAATACATCACTACTTGTAGTTCATGAGAGATGCAAGAGAAATACTAGTTTGCATTTCTATGCTCTCATCCTCTTCAGTTTCTTAGATTCAAAAATATTATGTGAACCTCCTGTAAGATTACTGTACAGCAATCCTAATACTGGGAAGTCCTCCATTAGTTATTTACATAAATGTAAGGGGAACCAAAAACCTCAAAGCAGAGGAAGGGAACAAACCCTGTTGTCATCACCATTTAAAGCAGCAGTGATTTTAGAAAGGCCTCTTGCACTCTGCTTCATGAAGAAGCAGGTGTCAGCATAAGTATGTCAGTTCACAGCTTTGCTTCTGCATGGAGCCCAGCCAAAACCCGTCACCCAGTGACACCTGATGTGTCTGTTCAGCATCACAGAGGCAGAGCTCCCTAGCAGAAGTCGCAAAATTTGCAGTCTTCCACAATGAAAACTAGTGCCCCAGAATACAGTTCCACAGTGCCAGGGATAGGGCCTTAACTCAGCTAGATGACCTACTGCTAAGTCACCAAGGAGTGTTCCACCACTGCTTCAATACCTGTCACTAAACACTCCAACTAACTACTGGCTGTTCAGGTGTTACAGAGTTACCCTGCTCTGAACTGTGGGAGATCAGTAGTACAGAAGTTGCTAGACAAGTTATATATATATATATATTCATACCTATGTCTTTATTTCACGCCAGTTTGACAACAACAAACTTCTTGTTTTGCAAGAAACTGCTTATATTGCAAAGAAGCCACCAGACCCAGAAAAAGCAAGTTGTGCTTCTCCATTCTTTTCAGGCAATAGTGTAAGTGGAAGCTGTTTTTGTAGAGTAAGTTGAAGGGCTAACCTTTGGACGGTCTTCCTTCTTCAAGGCTACTGCTTCCAGTTTTGCTTCATACTCTGCTTGAACTTGGTCTCTCTTCTTCAACACGTTCTGTGGGCAAGAGAAAAGACAGCTGTGAGAGATCCTCTTGATCCTTCCCCCAGGATGCAAGAACTCCAAAATGATAAAGGTTAAGTGCAAATTCAGTCCAAAATCATACTTTCAGATTTACTTTGTCCTATTTTACAGTTTTTAGAGAGTAGTTTTTAATAACAAAGAGCACTTGCTGTCCATAAGCTGGCAGGGTCAGATAAAATTCAACATTTAGACAAGCCAGAGGCATGCAAGACAGAAGCTGTCACAAAACCAGTATCATAACCCTGACTAAGTAAATTTAATTCACCAGTTCACCTATTATTACCATGAACAGGGTATAAACAAAAGCATCAAAGCTGACAAGGACTAATGCAAAGTTTTTGATATCCTCAAACAGCACTGTCAAGATACAGGAAAACCACCAAAGAAGGTATTACATCTCCCTTTTCATTTACAAAGACTATTCAGAATCCTTTATTGCAAGCTGTCTTGCATTCTCATGTCACATTCTCATGTTAGAACAAAAGTAATCTTTTATTTTAGATCAGTTTAGGGGGCTTGGTTGTTGGTTTAATTTTAAAAAAAATTGTGAAAAGTATAATTTACACAAAAAGCAATGAACTGCTCAAGTGAGTTTCACAAGCAGTAAATATTTTCTTGACAGAGTACTCTAAAAATACAGAGCCAAAGACACTACCCTTACCTTGTACTACATCCACAAGAGCTTCACTGAGGTAATACCACAGTCTTACCATTTGAAAACAACCACAGGAATTAGTCTTTTAAAGAATATATTACTGAAAAATAAGCAATTTTGGGTCAGCAAGAGCAGGCAACTTACTGCTTCAGTCATCACAAAGCAAGAACTGGTATTTTTTAATTACTCAGTTGATGCAAAGTTGTAAAAAATGTTTAGAGTGAAGCCAGCCAACACTCACTGCTGAGGCACCTGTAAATCTACAATTCTCTTGCAGCTAACTTGGCCAAGTCACACTTTGAGTCTCCCCTAGAAGGAATTACCCCATTAGGACCAAGTGATAACTAGTCATTTTAACAGTTTCTGACATGGCTAGTAAAGCAGGACTAGCCATGTGCACTGTTGCCTTCAGAAATCTCTTTTCAAAAGAGTAGTCAGAGCTCTAAGAGCCAGTCTAGCCAATACCTGTTTCCTAATTAAAGTATCTACTACAGTATCTACTAATCATCATCTTCCCCCTCTTAAGGCAAGAAAAGGTCAACAGTGAAGTTGCTCTGGAGTAGAGACAGGAGTGTTGCAATCAACACTCTTATAAAAGCTCAATCCATGATAAATGGGAATGGCACCCCATCCACAAAGTTACTATTAGTTTAGGCAATAAAAAGAGGGCAAACCTGAAAAATTCACCTTCAACCCCTTAATGTTCCCTTTAGTCCTCAAAGGGATGCAGCAAGCATGCCACTGAATGTGTTTGCTAGCCAAACCACAACATTCCTCTCTTTTTGGAATCTATGCAACTATGTGAGATGGCCTTTAAGTCACTGAGGTTACCAATGCAACAAAGGTCTGAGAGATTTAACAGGTATTTCTACTTTGTACTACCACTTGAACACGAGACAACTTTCTTCTCTTAAAAAACAACCGCCTCCAGCAATTGCATTCTGCCTTTAGACGCCAGGAGTGTGTGCAGGAAGTTGAACCTTTAGCAGGAATAGCCAATGATTAGAAATTACAGGCAAACGATTCAAAGGACAGGTGTCTCGTTTCTCTTTAAGTGTTTATGTCCATCCACTGTGGACCATTAACAATTTGCTTCTGAATACAGTTTTAAGTATCTGATAATGGCTGACCTGCAAACGATGAGAAAACTATTGCCCTCCCTTTCACCTGTATGTTTTCCTCTAGTACTGCCAGGCAATCTCCTCTCAGTTGCAGGTCAATGCACTAATACTTTCGCTGCACTTATGAAAAGCTCTGCATCAAGTATCCCCAAACTTTAGTAGAAGGTTTGCATGGAGTGTGCTAAGGCCTCACTTAGAGAGAGAGAAGTTTAAAAAAACCCACAAAACTTGAAAGAAACCAACACCAAACAGAAAAAAACTCACCCAGCACACTTTAGTTATTTCAGAACAGAACTAAATCATTGGTCCCTGAACAAGAAGACTTAGCTCAGTTTCAGCAAGGCAGGTCCTCCTCCATTTTGTTTTTAGGTGAAACATTCCTCCTTGGCCCATATTTCTAAAGAGCTTCAGGAGTTTGCCATCAGCCTCCTCAAATTCTCAAATTTCAACTTCAATCCTATTTGCACACCACATAGCTTCATCCTGTGACCAACCTCACAAGAGGATCTCTTTTCAGTGCCTGCCTTTACAGACAGTTACCTATTAATTTAGTGCTTACTTTAAACATGCATTAAAAGTCATGCATAGTGTCCAAACACACCACTGGGGATAGCATCATCTGATAAGCCTGTCTAGCAGTGCTAAGCATACAGAGTTCATGTAACACTTTAATATCAGCCCTGAATTGTGTAGAGCAGAGTCCATCCTCTGCACATGTCTCCCTGGGAAACACCAATGGACAGCAAAAAGTGTGGTAGCACGTTTGCTGACAAGGGCCTCCCTGCAGCAGGATTTGAGATATCCTCTTGCCGTGGCACAGAATCAGAATACCAGGTTGGAAGGAACCTCAATAATCATCTGGTCCAACCTTTCTTGGCAAAAGCACAGTCTAGACCAGACAGCTCAGCACCCCATCCAGCTGGATCTTAAAAGCATCCAATGTTAGTAAATCCACCACTTCCCTGGAGAGATTATTCCAAAGACTGATTGTTCTATTATGAAAATTCTCCTAGTGTGTTCAATTGGAATGTCCTTGGGGAATAACTTGTACCCATTAAGCCTACCTTTTCCATGTGACATCTTGTGAAAAGGGAGCTTCCATCACCTTCTAGTCACTCCTTAAATACTGCAACATGGTGATAAGATCTCCCCTAAGCCTTCTTTTCTGAAGGCCGAACAAAACCAGCTCTCTCAGCCTTTCCTCACATGGCAGGTTTCCCAGTCCCTTGGTCATCTTCATAGCCTTTCTCTGGACCCTCTTCAACTAATTCACTTTTTTTTTTGTACGGCAGGGATAAAAACCGAACACAGTATTCCAAGTGTGGCCTGAGAAGCATTGAGTAGAGCGAATAATTTGGAAAAGGTCTCTCCTAGACACTACTAGCACACAATTTATCTCAAGCCTACACCACCAGCCTTTCCCCACTTCCGCAAATCTTTCAAACAAACCCAAAGACAGGGCTTCCCTCAAATCAGCCAGTATTTGATCCAGCCAGAACTACTGGGCTTTGCCCTTGTTTGTCCAGTTCCTTCAAGCTGTCCCCCTCAGGAACAACAATGCTCCTGAAGACACTAAGGTCTCTCCATTTCTAACCTGGCAGTTCTTACTCTGAGGGACATTCAGCCAGCTAGAGACTGCTCTACAGATGAGGTTCCCAAACCTACACCAGGGGTACAGTGCGCAACAGAGAAAAGCTATCAAGGCCGCATTGAACTACCAGTACCTAAAGACTTACCTTCACCAAGGACCCTGTACAAAAGATGTGGTCTGAAAGACCAAAATAGACTTTCATTTCAGAAGCAGCCCTCACAGGATATGATGAAGGCAACTGCACTACTAGTGAAGAGGACAGTCCTTTCAGCAGAATGCCTCCTGCACTCCAAGTACAACCTTCTTTTACAGTTACTTACTTGGTGTTACGGATTCTGCAAAGACAGTTCAGTAGCTGCTCACTGCAGAAACAGCAACAGACTGGTATTTTCTGGCTGAAGAAAACTGTACTTTGTAGGTCTGAGAGAGTTCAGCTTTGCCATTTGAGAAGGAAGGAAAATAGAAACAGTCTGTCTGGGCTAATAGTAGTTTTTATTCTTGATTTTCAAATTTTCAGACAGAAGAAAGCCAGTAGGATGCCCAAGCTGGACACTAAACAGCATAATGCTTTATGGCACTAGAAGTCAACAGTCTAAAATGTTTAAGCTAAAAAGCATGGGTTTCTTCAGCTAAGAGGTACTTTAGGCAGTTAAGCACCACTTACCACAGTTAGGCTACCTGCTGGCCTTTTAGAGCCCTTTTAGAATGGTACTGTCTCCAAGCCAACAGGTAACTAGACACAAATTTTTAATGCCATTCTGCCTGTGGTTAAGTGGTGCTTAACTTCCCAAAGTATCTCTTCAGCTAAAGAAACCCGTGCTTTCTAGCTTAAAAAATTCCCCTGCTACATTTGTGAAAAGCACCTCTCACAAATCAGCCTGACCCTTCAGATGCCATCTTTGGTAGGCCAAGGCATTTTTAGCATCAAAAGACAGATGTTTTGAGTTAAAAGCTTTAATCACTAGACTCACACTGTTTATTTGTAAGCACATCCCACCCACCTCCACTTCCTACAGTCCCAACATCCTGAGACAAGGCTTCCTACAGGTCACACTGTTCCAGCAGTAACTTGTTGTCAATATATCCCTAAAGAAAATACATCTTGGTTATGCTGTGGTCAATACTATGGTGACAAAAGCAGAGTATCCTAATGGAATTTGTGAAAAGCCTTCTGCAAGAATACTTCAGCTACACAAGAGATATACAACTAACCACCTGAAGCTGGGAAAAGAAACCTGCACGTAATCTGTTTCAATTCTCAGTTTGAGAAGTATAGGATGAGACTAAGACTAAGACAAAGAAGGTCTATCATGTTCAGACCGTAAGTTTACAAGATCTGTAAAGCAGTGCATATCACAGCCTTGGCACAGTTGTTCCAAGTGGAAAGTCTTCAGAAGGAACTTGTCTGTTAGTACCCTATAGAGAGACTGTTAACACACGTTGTACCATGGGCATATAGCAAAAGGCTTTAATGGAGAACTGAAATCTTTGGTTTTATTTCTCCGTGCAGTTTATTCAGTAATTCTTTCCCCCATTCAATGTGATTTAATACCAACGCTCCTTAACTTGAAGGGAATAAAGCCCACATTGAAGTATATCCTGCATAAACATCAGATTCTTAAGAGAGATTAAGAGTCACAGAATACAATCTTTTCTTGGTATGCAGAACTTACCTTTACAACATCCTGTCTAGGCTATGGGGATGACAGAGGAAACAGTGCCTGTCATTTGGACACATGGTTCTGAAAGGAGGCACCCAACTCTGCCACATACAAGTGACAGAAGCTGCTAATGCCATCTATTCTGTAGGGCCAGGCACTAACCCTGTAGTGAAGAGCTGAGGATGACTGACTTTCTGTGACTTCAAAGATTCTAGGCAGCCACAGGATGTCTCCTATAGAGTGCTACCTGCCACTCTGACGAAGGAAGAGCTCTCCACCACTTTGTGTGCACCCTTGTAATACTGACCATAGCTTGACTGAATAGCAGAGCAGACCTATAATATTATTTATGCTAGTAAACACACCTAATTTTGTTCTGACTATGAAAACATCCTCCTACTTCATGTATTATTTACTTCCACACTTTTCCCACAGCATTTCTTGCTGTTAAAAAGAACAAACCCACGGATATATCATGCCAGGCAAACACAATGGCTTTCTGCCACAGGGCTCTCCCTACCTTCATTGACTCAGCATACAGTATATATTCCCTAAGCACAGGCAGGAAGTCTTCTGTCATGTCTTCACTGAGTTCTTCAAGAGCTGTGCAGCAGTTCCCAATACAGGCAGACACCCCTTCCAGGGGCTCTGACAGTTCAACCTCCAGCCCTCCCCAGGTTGAATAGACAGGTCCATATTCTCGTAGTTCCACCAAGTATTCTGCAAGAAGCAGATGGAAAAGTAGATTAACAGAAAATGAGTAAGGCACAAAGATGCGCAAACACTGATATCAAACAGGAGCAATTATGCACAAAGTTTGACTAAAAGTAACCCCCACAAGGAGTCAAGACTTGTGTTGTGTTGGCACCTTAATAGACAGAGCACTGTGGCTACATGGATGTCACGGTCAAGTTGCCTCCTTCTTAAATGGCCATTTTACTGACTTCCAATACAAACACACTTGCACCTTTGCAGTAGCCCAAGTCAGCTTTATAAACACAGGTAAAATTTGGTTCTAAGACAGCCTGCAAAGGTTATCTTTGTCTAGGACTTCCATCTGTACTCCTCCAGGTGGAATGTACAGGTTTTTCCACCTTCCAAAAGTCTATCATCAAATAACTCCAGTAAGACAGCAGACTGGTATAAAAAGAGCGATTTCAGAAAATACTTGGAGAGTAGAGCTACAATAAGAACACTGTGTTAGGCTTTGGGCCTGTTTTAGATCTGGAAGGGCCATTAGGTTTTGCTCTGTGTGTGACATTACAGACCAAAATTATCAACGCAAATTGTCTTGATCATGCTATTAACTGGAATAAGAGACAGAACATTCAGACTGAAGTATTATGATAGAGCACCTTGTGTCCTTACCCAACTGCTCTTTGATGATCCGCTGTGCTATTCTGTCAATGGTACCAAGCTTTAGAGAGAATGTATCAAGATAATCCCCAATGGCTGCAAACTCCAGTGGCCGACTTCTTAATTTGTAGCCTCCTGTAACATATTTGACAGACTCCCCCACCTTTGACAGCAATGCCATTCCTTGCTTTTTGTAGGCATTAAGATCCTAGGAATTAAAAAACGAAAAAGAACACGTTTATAAATATTTCACAACCATGTTGGAAGATTAATACAATGAAGGATACTTTCCAGTCAAGATCAAATCTTGTGAAGGCAAAAGATTACATATGACATGTAGCCTTGGACAAAGGCTCGCTTTGTACAAGCTGCACAGCTGAGCACAGCTTCAAAACTACCCCTAGATGGAGAAAAACTATCCAGGAGAATGGTATGAAGAACAGTGTAAATAACTAAGTAGTTCAACTTTGCACATGGCCAGACTTGCCCATGTTCCTGTGCTGTCACCAGGGAATTAGACACATTGACAGCTCTGGTTCCACCAAAATAGCTCATATCATTTATCCACACATACTTCTAAGTTATAGCCCACAATACCAGTATTATGCAAATGCACCAGCTGGCTCCAATGACCTAGTACAGAGCTACATATCACATGCCCATTCAGTGACCAGCACCCTCACACCAGATGTGTGGTCAGATAGGAGGCTGTCAAAGTCTGTACACAGAAAAAGTACAGTAAGACAGACTACAGCTCAGGCTAGGTCAGATGTAGCTACAGTGCCTGCACAGAAAATCTGAGCTTCCTTGCCATCGCTTTACACATCTGCACAAACCATCATTCAGATAACCTATGCTGACAAGGCTGTTTGCCTACAATCTTCAAGGGATTTCACCTTAACAGTACATCAGAAAAACATGGTTTTAGTTAGCAAAAACGCTATCCATTTTGCATGGACTGACTCCTTCCAGCAGGGGTCAGTATTCAACATCTCAAAACAGGAGCTGTAACTGGGTTATCCTACACAGCCTGAGGAAGTGATGTGTTCAAACCAAGTAGACCCTGTAGAGGTCAAGAATTCAGACATGCTATTAGGGACTACACTAAAAGCCTTCTTTAAAAACAGAATTAAAAAACACCACCAAAAAAAAACAAACAAAAAAACCCCCAAAACAACAAAAAAAACCCAAACAAACAAAAAACCCACCACCACAACAAAAAAAACACCAACAAAACACAAAAACAAATGAAAACAAAAACACCCACCCAATTAAAAGAAAACCAAACCAAAACTCAAACAAAACCAGCAGCCATCTTCAAAACATGTACTATGGCATTCTTTCCAAGTACTTAACATAAGTCAAACATAGGTCTGATTAGGAGAACCTGACATCTTAGCAGCTACTATAATTTCAAATTATGTTTGCATTTAAATGCAGTGGTTCCCTGACTCTTGCTTTCCACATGACCTAAGCAGTACCTGCAAGCAGGCACCATAAAAAGATCCTTGAACTCAAAATTATTCATTCACTCTCTCAAGCATTCTGGTGTGTTCAAGCAGGGAACACGAAAAAAGCCTGGTTTCTCTTTTTCTGCCAGAAGGTGATCTTATGACTTTCTGTTGTAACTAAATTTTGGAGTCCTAGCACACTGAACTGACACCACACTGTTCCAACAGAGCAAGTTCCAACACTAGAGACAGTCACACACATGCCCTTTCCCCCCACCTCCCAGGATGCTCTGTTGACTCTGAGCTGTGCTCAGAGCTGAGAAAAAAACCCTTGACATTCATTTCACAGGGATGGGAGAAGACTAAGCAGCTTAGAAAGGTGCATCGTGCTTGGACAGCTGAAAAGAAGAACAAATATCTGACATTTAACTATCATGATACTAAACAAACTCTGCATTTCTGGCTTATTTCAGTAGTTAAGTTCACTGTGGAGGTGAAATAACAGAGCACTGGAGATTGATTCTCACACTAACATCAAGCAGACCATGAGCCTGAAGTGAGCTCAAATTAAACACCACATTTGAGTGAGCTAGATGAATGTGATTGGAAAGATGTGCTTTTATACCCCTCCTCACCTATCCAGTCAAACCCAAGCATAACCACAGGTCCTCAAAGTCCCATTTGAAATGCAGTTCTAAAGAAAGCCAAAGAAAATTGCACCATTGCTGCATGAGTCATGCAGGAGATGAGCATGAAATTGTTGACTGAGAACAAGTGAGAATGAGGCCTCCATGCCTAGTTTTGAGGGCAGCAAGTGCAAGCAGTATAAAAAGCACAGACAAGAAAAAAAGCCAAAAAATTTGCAAGCAAGGAGGGAAGTAGGGAAGGAAGAGAATTCTCTCTTGCACAAAAGCAAGAGAGAATTCTCTTCCTTCCCTGCTTCCCTCCTCCCCAGAAAAGGATTTTAAAGTCCACAATTTTCTAAACTTAGAACCTCTCTGGCATAATAGGAGTATGTTCTAGGCACACAACTACAAAACAAGCAAGTCTGAAGAATTTGTTGATCTGCAGACCAGATTCCTCTTCCCTCCAAGCAAAGGGAATCCATAGAGTTGTCAGGGATCCGTCACACACAATATTCAGGGTTCCCAGCAACTCTCTGGTATTTTAGGGGAAGTTCTGATCTGCGTATCTAGTTTTATTAATGACTTTTTACCTTCATTTCAGAAGGGACTGCAAAGGTTCCTGGTTTTTTGTCCCCGTCAAGGACTGTGTTCGGAAGTTACTGGCTTACCTTGGCTGTGAGAAAGACGTTGAAGTGCTCATTGAAAGAAAGCACTGGGTGATCAGTTATTCTCTTCAAGAACTTGTCTAAAGCTTTCCTCCTTGTTTCCACGAACTCTTCAGAAAAGCGATCAACAACACCCTTCACCACAAATTTCTCAGGAAGAGGCTGTCAGAGATAAGCAAAAGGCACAAGATTCAAAAGACCGAAAACTTGCTTCTGCTATTTGGAAACAAAGCAATCAAGCACCAGTTTTAACAGGAACTGAAATGCTGTGTTTGCTAACAGGAACCAAAATGTTGTGTTTACTAACAGGAACTATCCATCAGATGGGATGCAAGCCATGCTCAGAATTAGCTTTTAATTGGTCTGGTTTAATGCTAGCAATTCTACTGAGTGGCTTCAGCTAAGAGTCACACCAGGGAAGCCCAGACAGTACTAACACGAAATACTTGTAGCACAGCTTAGATTGTTCCCCCTACTGCTACCTGTGTTCAAGATCCAGCTCCAAAGAGATGTCAGAAGAGCTGCACACTATTCACAACAGCAGCGCACACCCCCACCACCCAATGCTAAGGCAAGGCTGCCTAGAGCACATAAACTCAGAAAACAATTCTACTTACTCTCCCCTCTCCCTCTCTGAACAATTTAGAACTTTTGAATAGGGCCCTCCTGTAAAAGGCTGATAATCTTAGTGAGAGCATCACACTGAGCAGAGACAGACCAGCAGGCTTGACACAGCAAGCGCCCGAGTAGTCCAGGCTGGATCCTTTCTGAAGTACAGGCACACCTGGTCACCTCTCACAGCCAACTTTCATGAGTATGCTTCTTTAAGTGACAAAGGTCTGACTTTGTCCACTCTTGTATCTTACTATTTTAAGCCCATCAGTTCTTTTCTGCAGTTCAGCTTAACATACACGCCTAAGACTGTCTCCAGACTTGCTAGTTATACAGTCCCTCCTGCTAACACTTAAATGACGGACTTCAAAGTACCACTTCGGATGGAAGGTAACTCTTCAAGCTTAAGAGCGGTTAGTTTCAGCTCCACCATCAGATCTGCTTTTGTTCTGTCCAGACAGCACGGAATTTAAGACTAGTATCAGTTTTTAAACTGTGCTTTGCCTTTCACTCTTTGTGAAGCAGTCCATCCAGACAATCTGCTTACTCTTAGGCTACCAATCACAGTGATTTTCACCCAATTCAGGAATTAGGATTCTCCTCTGCAAAGAATCCGTCATCTAAAATTTGTGACAAAAATAATTCAAGAAAAAAAATCTGCAAACACATCCTTTCCCACCATACCCCAGATGATGCAAGATGTACACAAAGATTGTGCCTCCTGAGAAGCACAGCCAGCATGACTTAGGTGCAACACAGCTAAATGTATTTAGTTCTTATGATTAAAACTTATCTTATTATGCTTAGCATTCAGATGATCAGTCATGCTAATTAAACCATTGTAAGGTACACTATCATTAGAATATCAGAAGTATAATGCTTAGTGCATTAGTCTTCGGGTAGGAAGGAACTCTTTTCCTTTGCTTTGTAAACTTTAGCTGGGACTCTATGAAGTCACTACCTCAGCACCATATGCAGGAGGAAAAGGACAAACTGAAAGACTAGTTTAAATAACCTTAGTTCAACCAAACACATGGAAGTGTGGCACTGAATAACCACTGAAGTTTGAGCATTTGAGACCCACAGAAGAGTGTACCTCTATTACAAAGACTTCTGCCATTTAACCTGGTTTCAGCTACAGCAGTAGTTACAGTCCTTTCCATTTTAGGCCTTTGGAGGTCCATCCCAAGTAGTCAGTACACATAGCTAGTAAACAATATCCTGTTTTAACTGTGTGTGTAAATTATCTACCTTATAGTCTTCCACATTAATAGTCTATTTTTCCCTACTGAGACACATGGGAACAGAGTTCATTGCAGTCGGGAATGGCTTCAAGTATCCAACAGAGCAGCACATCCTTACACTTCCAGATTTTCTAGAAGAAAGGTACTTAGATACTGCCTTACTCTGCAGCCAGTTTCACATCCAGTATTAGAGCTACTCATGCCAAATTTGCTGTTCTGTGTGCAATGAATTCCAGGTCACGGCAAAGCAGCTTGATTCCCTGGCTGTGACTCACCTTCTGCTACTAGACTATTATTTATTGCCTTGCAGCCTTCAGGCAGGACCGGCAGCCCGTTAGCATACTCAAGAATCTGTAAAACTTAACTGTGATAGTTCCAGCTGTTCAGAGAACAGGAAGCAAGAAAAGACAGTATGGGCAGTTAACACATTACGTGTGTACCTTATTCTCCCAAGCTCACTGTCTTCTCCCTACCCCTCAGTGACATATTTTCTGCCAGTTAGTGGTGTCACATGATTCTGTAAAGTACTCCTTGCCTTTGAGAGAATCAGCCAGTATTTCACTTAGAGGCAAGCCCCAGAGTACTTAAGGACTTAAACAGCACTCTAAGCCAGAGCAACCTAACTAAATACTTCTCTCACAGCCTAGTCCTTGCTGAGGGAGGGAGACCAGAGAAACTGCCACCACACCATCCACTCCAATCCTAGATGGGCAAGCTAAAGTATGCCAGTAGTATTGTTATTTCCAGAGAATTCCCCTCCAACAGGTCTTTTTTCATTTCTTTGTTCAAAAGAACTGAAAGTGGTGATCTTACAGGTTTCCTACCTATTCACATCTTCTGCAGCACAAAAAACATATCACATAAGGTAGTATCAACCTCCTCATCAAATAAGGTGGTCAGATTGCCAGTTTTGGGAAAAAGGGGTGTAGTATTTTAGTTAATCTCTTTAATAAACTTCTGCCTACTGAAAGCATGCAATAGCTACTAAGCCAGAAACTGAGGTTTCTAAGTCTGTGATATCAAATGTCAGCCTTATTAAGTGCTAGCACAAATAGTTTTAAATTACTCTGTAAAACCGGCTCAAAAGGCCATCTTGAAAAACAACTAAGAATGTGAAGTACCTGTGTGGCTTTTCATAATCCTCAGCTGCTCTGAAATATAGACGTAAAAACTGAGCAAACAGATGAAGTGCATTCCATTTACGTCACAACAAATGTAGTCAGCACACATATTGCCCTGCAGGAGGCTGCCAAAGCTCACCTCTCAGGTGTGCCACCCCAGAAAAGTCTAAGCTTCATAATCAGTCAAGAATGGGAAGCTCTTCCCACTTCACTGTAAGACAGTAAAGTACCGTATTTAAATCTAAATACTCAAAGAGAATGAAGTACTGTTTTTAAAATTTGGAGACAAATCACACAAATATCACCCTTGGAAGATAAATGTACAACTGTCCTTAATAGTAGATTCTTGCTTACTACCTACGGGAATGAGATGCGTTGGCTGAGACTCTTCCAGCTTGTTTCTCAACCAGTCGAAGTCTTGGTACCGCCGACGGACAGAATACTCTGGCAAATCAAACTCTGCTCGTGTAGTCTGGAAAAGAACAGAAAATACTTAGTGTTCACCAAACTTCTCACTTCGGAGCTTACCAGCAAATGCACTACAGACATCCCTGGCAAGGGTGAAGCCAGACACACCTTGCGGGGGGTCTTCATCCCCAAAACTGTGCAGCTAGCATGAGACAAAGGACCTCTGGCTTTTCAAGCACTGGAAATCCCAGCAATATGAAAAATTATTACTTTGAGCTGATGCACTAAGATCTATTTGTACTTCATTACATGTTCTGCTCATATAAACTTTACAGGAGAAGTCTGTAAAGCAAACAGAACCACATTACTCCCTTGGCAGTTACAAGATTGCAAGGAAGACTGTGTGAGATATTCATTCCCAAAACAAGACTATTTTAACTATCAAGAACTAAAAGTAAAGATATTTATTGACTTTGTTTATTCTACGACGTGAATTATCCGCAGGAGAAAAAGCATTTCACCACTGCCCTATATTCCAGAAGCGACGGGCTTAGCACACTCCTTCAAGTCTAAAAGATTAGAACATAAGCCACTGTGAGGTTTGATGAAGGACTATTTTTGTTGATTTCCAAGAGGAAGAAACTAGTCTGTTTACATTAAGTTTGTGTATGCCTAATTAGATATATTAGTATATTAAATTAAATCTTTTAAATTTTATTCTTTAGGGCAAGAAGTCAAACTTGCCATTACAAGTTTGAGGAAAAAAGAAAGTATACAGAGAAACTGCTGGCAAGTGTTTTATCTATTCCTTGAGCAGACCCTAGCCTGGCACGCTGACTGCGTGGGGCTGCTTGCCCAGCACATACTGCAATTGTCTAAAAGCACTCGTGAAACTGTGTACCAACTAGGAGAGTCTGCTAGAGAGCCTGGTAGCAGTAGCCCTGACTAGAATGTAGATGGTCCTTATTGTTTTGTCCCATACAGAGCTATACTTATTTGCAGCATCAAGACCATCTTGCAATGAATAGTCTGTGCACTACGTGCCTACAGCAAGATACCAAAACCAGCACATTCTGGGGAACACACCAGCAGCTGTTGAACAGGCTCTGAGATCAGCACTTGGTTGCTTTGCTACTCCTACCCACTACAATTGCCTGATAAATTCCAGCAGACACTCAACCTTTACTTCCAGACTGAGAGCAATTGCCACATATTTGGAGAAAGTCAAGTAGCAGCTTTTAAATGCAATCCATCTCTTCACTTGCTTTCTGGATGGTTCAAACTCTCCAGTTACTGCACTTTACTCCCAGCAATCACCACTAGGGATCCTGTACAAGTTCTAGATCAGAAATCTCTTCCTCAGGGCAAGATGGCAGCCTTAACATACTAGTAACAGCACAGTAGCTCTAGTATACTATAAACAGCATGCTAATGTGTTATTATCTGTGAAATAATTCAGTTTCTAGAAGAGGAAGGCATAAGAGACAGAAAAGAAGAAATCAGGATAAGCTCCTCCCTCCTTTGACCTACTAGCTATGGTTAAGCAATATACAGGTTAGTCCTTGGACTAACATAACAAATGCTTACCAATGGAGCAGTTGTGTTTGTAGATGAGGTGCTACCAAGATGTAGATATCCACTGCAGATTTGTGCTTTACTCAGCCACATCTTAGAGTAACACCAGCTTATTTAATGTGTTAGAGTGCCACACTAGAAATTAAACTTTTAAGACTTCATATAAATGATTTTCACTTGTTTTGAGTAACAGACTGAATGGCATTAGGGTAAAACAAGATAATTCATGCACATACAGACAGCACTCATCAGCCAGTAGTGCTCACTGCATTATTCTGTTAATTGGGAAGCTGTAACTTAGCCTTGCAACCTGAAATAAAAAAAAAAGGGGGGGGGAGTGGGAGAGGGCAATTATTTAGAAGAAGGGATAGCTTTTGTGAACTGGCAGTCAGTGCCCAAAAGCCTCTTAAAGGAGACCTGACAGTGAATGAATGAGAGGAATGAGAATGGCTACACACTACAGTATCTTATCCTGTATCATGAGGATGAAGGTAAAGTCTACCATCTGTTAGCACTGAGAAGCTTATTAACCAGTATTCTGCTAACAGTTAAGGAAATCTGTAGAGGTACTCTCTAGGAGTAGGAAAGCAGTGCAGAAACTTTACATTAGTTACTGTTCACCCCTAGCAAACTGCTCCTACTGCCTTTACTTCACAAGCAGAATTGCAAAGTTTTCCATATATCGAGTTCTGTTCCTCAGAGGGAGGCAGATGAAAATACAGAAATACCAGCCTTTCAGTGTTTACTGTACAGGCTGTCAAATCTAGACAGCAAATAAGCTTTTCAAAGATTATTTGGGCAGAACATAAAGGCCCTTCAAGGTTTTAACGACACCTCACTAATGCTGAAAGTATTTGGATCTCATATGAAACTGTTCATCAGCTTAGCACACGTAATTTTTTCCAGACTGCACACAAAAGGGAGGAGGGTCTTGCCACGTCCAGGGACAGTGTTGAAGAACACATTCAGTGCAAACAGCTGCAGATGCAGCTACAGCCACAGCCCCCGGATGAGCTCTGAGTGGTGGGAGCACCAGGCAACAGGCTGGGAACTGGCATCAAACTTTACACAACAAAGGGCCCAGGGACCTGTGGCCCAGCTGGGAGACCAGACACAGAGACACAGCAGGGGCCATCGACCTCGAGGACTTCACACGTGTAGACTGTAAAGGTATAAAAGCCCAGGGTTCCTTTGTTCTGGGTCCCCCCTCAGAGGCACCAGCTCAAGCTGTTATTTAGTTATTGCACCAAGATTAAACTATTTTAAGGATCCAGATGTCTGAGACTCAGTTATGGGAAACTTGGGGCCAAACTGGTACAGAAAACTTGGTCTGTGTGAGTGTGGGGTGTCTACATGGGAAGGGGCCTCAGTTCCAGCTCAGGTGGATCAAGTGTGACTGCCAGAGTGGCTCCTGGATGGTCAGACAGAGAAGCTTCCTTTAACAGACAGCAAGTGAAATGTCTTTGTTTCTAACACAGTTAAATTCCTCCTGCTTCCTTAGTAGGATTGGATTCATAAATCTCATCTCACAAGGACATACATGTCTGCCAAAGGAAGCTAAGAAATGTATATGGCAGACCTCACCCTCCCAAAAAATAATAGGCAAGACATTTGCAGGAATTTACTGAAGATTCCACTAAGTCAGCACTGCAGCATTCTGGGCTCAGTTTTACTTGCTGGAAAGTAGGCAGAGTTACAGACATTTTTACCTCTGTTGCTGGAACAGTTTTGACTTGAGGCAGTATTAAGGCAATCACCAGGTCTCTGTCTTGTGTAAGATTCTTGTCTTTCCTGGAAGGAGTTAGCAGCCAAATCTAAAGCTAGCCTGTGATGACTATACGAAAGTATTTTTGTACCCTAGTTCTAGTCTCTTACTCACTAGACTTGATCGCAGATTCCCCTTCATGTTACTATTTAAGTTTGGGGCAAAATCTTCAACTAGAAAAAAAGGAGAATGGCAGAGGGGGGAAGGGAGCAAGGCTTGTCTTCAGCACTTCAGCATTTCTTTTGCCTTGAATAGTTAAGCCTGTTTGAAAAACAGAACTCATCCCTTTCATCTGCTCCTCTCTACGGAATCAGGCTGTTTCATGTGCCCAAGTAATCTACCCAATGTGTGCACTGGAAACATGAGGAAAAGGACAGGAAAGCAAAAACAAGACTCCAATATTGACTGTTTTGAAAGACTCTTCCTTCAAGCCTGCAGAGTAACTGCACGACTGAGGAATGGCACTCAGCTGTTCAGACCTCTGTGGGAGAAGGCACAGAAGGCGGCCTTGCCATTCTAGAAAGTACAGTGAAAGTGAAGTTAGAAGTACACTTACTTATGTTTCCTTCAGGAGATATGATTACACAAGGGCAAGCTTCCTTCCCCTCCCCTACTCCTCCCCCACAAAGATCTGCTTGACAAAATCCCCCTAGAACTCACAGCAGTCTATCGGAAGAACACAAAGATGAATCATCAAGAACACCCAAGACACTTCAATCATCACAATCAAGACCAATTAAGTTCAAGCACAAGTTCCACCTGCCTTTATTAGTTTCACTAGCCTCCCTATATAAGGAAACTGCTGTTAGCAAGAAGAAAACAGGATATGAAAGTGTCAAGACAGTCAGTTCTGAATCACTGTCCTTGTTAGTCTGAGGATTCCAATTACATTCTTTAAATGTGTTTGTCCAGAGAACAGGTTGGGGAGAGCTACCTGGCTCTTACTAGGAAGCCATGAAAACAAGAGACATAAGGAAGATTGAGTAAACTCTAAAGTTTTCTTCTCAGCTTCTCTGCAAGCCACTGTTTTGCCCCTTCCTCAGTCAATGCCACCTGCTGACAAAGGTATTAGCAGATGAAAAGTCTGGGGCATACAGAAGACTTCTCCCTTTTTTTTGTTGTTATGATGAATACAAACTAGACTGTGGTCAATCTTCACTCTTCCCCAGGCTGGTGTCCTGTCACAGTCACAAGCACACGTTACAGCATTAGCTTCCCCTCTTGCACCTCGTGCTGCTGCTTTTCTGTCTTCAGTATAACTCATTCTATGACCTTTAGAGGTCTTGAACCCCTTTCCTGCAGGGCTGAAAGGGAGGTGTTGGGGCAGCTCCTCATCATCCTCTACAGATTATTCCTGTGCAGTGTTTTTGCCGTGTTTAATTACTACTTTCAGCTGCAATGGCTAATTGGGCAACTAACTTGGCATCAAAGAAGCCTTGTTTGTAGGGCAAGAATGAGATAGGCCATTAATACTGTTAGTCTTCTTAAACAACGGTAGAAAGTGCTAGAGGTTCTGACCCTAGAGATTAGTCAGAATTTACAGTAATAATAAAACCAAAGAGGTGAGAATTTCGTGCTGATTGAGAAGAACAAATCATGCGCAGTTTCATAAGAGCATTGCACTGCTATGATATAGCAAATTTATGTGCTACAGTGAGATCCCAACTAAAACAAGTATTAACGCATGGGTAGGTAGACATGCAAAATCAGAAGTACAGGATGATTTTTTTAAATGTAAAAAAAAAAAAAAGACACTGTTGGGTAATACATCTGATCTAAATATGGTAAATACCTTAGCCACAGTCCAGAGTTCTGCTTTAAGAAGGAAGGGAACCTTTGAACATAGGTTTCCAAGCATAGGAATATTATTTGGGTACCACTGTATACACGTATTTTATATTTATGGAATAACCAGTTCTTAATTTAAGAGAGAAACAATGTCAGCCAATTTTAGCCATTTGCCTATGGAAAGCTGGATCTCATTTTCTGAGATGCATCATTCCTTCTGATCAAGTAATAGCTGAAGGCTAAGTTGCTCCAAGTAAAAAAACAAAACAAAGAAGACTTTCCCACAATACTTTTTAGCATTTTTAGTAGTTAAGATACAGTGTTTCTTGCAAGACTCTTAGAGCAAGAAGAAATGACAGGACTGTGTTAAGTGTGTAGCAAGAGGTAGTTACTGTTTTAGAGAAACTATATTTTCACATGTACTGCCTGGAACTTTGGAGTAGACATTTTGAGAAAAAGTTATCTGTGGCCTGTAAAGACTTCCTCATCTCAAAGGAAAATATTCTCTCCAGTGTATACTGCCATCTAGGTAGGCCAGAGGAATGTTAATCTTTTTGGACAAGTGGATCAAGTATATTACTAGTGAAGTTACTCAACACTTTTTGCTTTAGGTAACCACAAGAGCCCAAAACAGATGTCAGCATCACCTAGGAGCTGATGACAATGAGCTCATTAACAGAAATCAAGATTTCAGTTGTGAATGCAGTGAACTTTTCAGATCATTCTTCCTGTTAATATAATAAGATTGTATTAATGACTGAACTACAACAGATGCTGAAAAAATCTCTAGCGTATTTCTTTTGGTAGGCAGTAGTGTTCTTATGCTATTTCAGTTTTACTATCAGCTGTACAGTCTTCTGAACCAGCAACTGCACCGAAGCCAGTTTATAGCTGAGGATCAAGATTATGATTTAATTAAGTGACTGACAGAGAAATTGTGGTAAACACTTAAAGCAACAAGCTTAAAGCATTTCAGAAAAGGAGAGACACAAAAAAGCAAGATGATTAACAGTGAATCAACAAGGCACATTCCCCTTAAGGGAACTCTAACCAAATGGGTGTCAGATTACTAAATGAACAAACTTTAAAGTTAATGAAAGAAACTGGCCTTGCAAGTTTACAAACAGTTTTATTTAGGACTCAGAGACCAAAACATTTAAGCTGACACATTAAAGGTTTTTTCACAATTTCATACACTGAAGTAACAGATCTGCTAAGAGAGAGAGGTCTTCAACATATTCAGAAGGTAGCAAAAGACAGTAAGGATAAGAAAATACAATGCAAGATACAAATATCCAGAACAGGCCCTAAAATGATTCCATAAAGAACAAAGTACCAGGAAAGAGAATGTTGCTTTGTACCTTTGTTGTAACCCTGTACGTGATATACGTCTCCATCGTGCACACGTGTTTTTTGGGATCATCAACAGTTACAAAGAGGTCTCTAGTTTCCACATCCAAGTCATCATCCAGCTGCAATCTGTTAAGGAGAGATGAGGAGGAGGCTGGGCTAGAAGTGTCCACAGGTGTGCCATTAGGCAGACTAAGATCCTGTAACAAAGAGGAAAAAAAAGGAAGTTTTTAATAAGTTTAACAGATTCAAGGGAAAGCACTGTATTTTCAAAGTTTCTGACAAACGTCAGTGAAACTGAGAAGTTTCACTGATATATTACAAGGGCTATTTACTTCAGCAGCTCCAAGGATTGCCCTTTTCCAAGACACCTGAGCAATCCCCTAAGTCTGGGCTTTGAGTATTAAGTTGTTCTACAAGTTGAAGAGAAAGCAAATTACCACCATAACTCCCCTTAGTATGGTGCAACCTGCTTTCTATTCATAAGGAAGTAGAAATATTGCTGAACCAACACCTCCTGGTGAGACTGAACTAACTTAGACTCTGAAAACAAGTTGGCTAGGCAAATCAAGAGACCTACTTATAAGACAGCCTTCAGGCAAAGAGGCAACAGTTCAGTTGTCTGGAATGCAGTCAGCATTTGCCTCTGGAGATTCTGACAGTAGAAGAACGAGGGCAAACTTTCATCAGAGGTTCTCCATCTAGTCCATTAACATCCAAACACACTGACAGCAGTCAGAGCCTGAACTGCCACCACTGCACTACAGGACAGTCACTAATCACATCCTTCTGCACCAGTGTCTAGGCACACCTCCCTTTTGGAGTTCTAAGGCTAATGAAAACACTACTTTTTTCTGAGAGAGGTCGTCGTTCCCATCCTCCCAACTCCAAGAGTATCATCCAGTGCCTTAGGAAGACAAAGGCTAGAAGATCCATCAAGTGTCTATTTTAGAAAGAAACATACAAAGGTTTAGGAAGTCTGCAATTCCTTGAAACAGACTGGGCAGAAGGGGGGAAAAAAAAAAACAACCAACAAACAAAACCACCAAGAACCCCAAAACACCCCCCACTCACCTTATAGCTAACTTGATACATTTCCACACCTTCAAATCTCACACTTGAATACAGACCAACTACTCCATTCCAGTGGTTACTCCACTTGCATAAATATCACAGTAACTTCTCATGTTCTCTGTTCTGGTTTTGTAGTAGAGGGAGCTGACAGCATACGACAAGTTGTACAGAGTGCAGGACAGGAATTTCTGACAACAGTATTAAAAAGTCCTAAAGATCCATGCCTCTTCTTATCAGAGAAGAGGGGGGTTTTGTTTGCACCTTTTAACTAATAGCACAGGAATAGATTTATCCACAGAGTGACTTCCGTTGTTGCTACACAGAGAAACAACACTTCATCTAAGCACCACAGTAACTAGAATTGTTTTAGTTATACAATTACTGCTTAGCCCCAGCCTCACACAGTCTTTAAGTGGCTAAACAAAACATGCAATCTTAGCAAAGTTATCATGTTTGGGTGAGACCATCTCTGTTCATCAGTCCTCTTTTCTTTAAAGGTTCAGAATTACAGGTAACAGCTTCAAGGTAAAGCTCCTTACAAAGGTCTGCCTTTGACAACGGATAAGAACACAGCTAAGTTCCTACTAGTCACTGTCAGAAATGCATCATGGGAGTACTCAGATCTCACAGACAGCCATCTGTCTGTTGCAGGACTGCAGAACTGGGCAGCGCTGCTCTTCACCTTGAGGGCCGCTTTATGAAGTAGAGAAAATAACACTTTAGCCTAGACATTTTGGGAAAGGGTGATCTCAACTATCGTCTACTAACAGACTTTAGATGCATTCTCTCAACTAATACAAATAAGTGTCTGCCAACAGATGAGCGGTTTCAGATCTAACTCGCAGGGGAACAAGACCAGGAAGGTAGGCACTCAAATGCCCTCCTAAGGAAGTAAAAGATCAGGATGAGCATGGCACAGCTTGCCAGCTCAGACATGAGATAGACAACTCTAAAGTCCACAAGAACCTGGCTCAGACTCAGTATAGCAGCAGCATGTACAACAGGAAGAAGTAATGATACAATACCTCTGCAGATAAGGAGTGCTGTTGAAGTTACACAAACAGAATAAGCAAAAGACAGGATAAGATTAGCAACAAGAGATGACTTCAGAAAATGAGCAGTTCAGCTAGACAGGAGAATTAGGCTGAGCAGACTGAAAAGCAAAGCAAACCCTGGGATACCACAGTAGCTGCACACAAATCCATTTCTGTTTCCAAAAGGAAAAGACAGTTCATCATTGCCCATATGCAATAAGCATTAGCTTATGACAAGTTGTGCCAGAACTGCAGCTAGTCAAATTATAAGCTTCCAGTATGGAAATGAATTACCTTGCAGAAACAGCTTAAGCCTAGTTGCATAGAAGATCCCAAAAGTTTGTAACAAAATTCTTCCAGAAGACAGTTTAAATGTGATAGAATCCGCTTAAAATACAAGAACTCAACTTCACCTGGAGGAAGGACCAAAGATGGGGCTTGCAGCCACTTGCATGAAGTTACCAACTTTCCTCACCAATTCTGTTAGTGGGTAATAATATCATACTAGCATGTCTTGCACATTTTAAGCAGGGCAGAAGTCTGTGAAGGCTTGAACTGACTTCACTGTACTTGAGTGTGTTCTTGCACTCATGGGTACTGTTAAATGTCTCAGGTCTTAAAGGCTGTGACAGTTTTACCTTGGATGAAACACCCGAGATATAGATCAGGTAAAGCTCCTATACCATCTGTGGTTCGGATCAGGAGAGCTGCCAGCTGTGGTGCTGGGGAAAGGCATATGGTGTGTACACTGTGCTATACTGCCTCATCAAGGACAGCAGGATTCTCCCTGACAGTCACAGCTCGCATCATACCCTGCTGCTTGGCTAGTTTTCAGTACATGAAGGCCAAGTTAGAAGCTAACTATTTCTCCTTCGTAATGGGAGGAAATTCCTAGCCAAGTGCACCAGGAACATTACTTATGGCTGCTGAACCCTCATTTAACAGGAAGAAGGATCAGTTGACTGAAGTCTTACGTTATTGCTAGAAAGAAGTAGGCTATGAAATGTCACAACAGAAGACCCATCAATCTTAGATGTCTCAAGCTGTTATCCTATCAGCAGAAAACCTCCTTGTCATATTAATTACCACTGGCTTTCTTTCATGGGATTTGGATTTTTTTTTTTTTTTTTTGCAGTTGGAGAAGCAAGACTGCAACATCTCTGTTAGTCTGCTTTTACTACAGAAAGACGAGCATGTCCTGCAGTGCCTAGAGGGAAAGGAGATCTGCAGCCATTTGTGCTTCTACCTGTTGGTATAGCTATCATACCCACAAGCATCTCAAATACTGGCTAGTGTTATCTGTTTTATATAACAGAGTCTGACTTCAGTGCCAGGGACTCGAGCATCAGGTTCACCTTTAATGCACCGAGCAGCTGCCCATCTACTGTTTTAAGTACCTATCTGCATTATCAGAGTTCATCCTAGTCCAAGTCACAGCAGGCACCTAGTGCTTACAAAGCCTTTGTGTCATGGCACCTGTTACTTGCAGTACAGTCAGTCTGCCTTAAATGTGAGCAGTCACACAGCAGACAGAAGGGGAGGCTGCTTCTGGCAGCCAGGCAGATGGCGTGGAGGACACGTTTTGTCAAGACATTCTTCTCTTCTTAGAGAGCATCCATAAAGATTTCCTCGAGCTTCAAAGCTTTTTCTAAAGTAAAGAGCAAAGATCCTTAGTCTTGGTCCCTCACTTCCTCAGGGCAGTCTCCTCCTCAGGACAGTCTCATAGCTTTGTCGCCTGCTGAAGCAGGTCAGGTGAAAGTCCACCAAGGCCTGGATCATAACCTATAGCAGAAATAGTGTGCCATTCAGACCTTCAGGTTAAGTACTGGGCTCTTGTGCACAGCTGTAAAGCCACCACACAGAAGGCTTTTCATGCATCCCTTAGAAGTTTCTAGAATCCCTTAAGACATCCAAATTTATGGGTACATGACATCAGAAAGATTCTAACAGCACATGTTTGGTATCCTACAGTGCCAGACAAGTAGGAACCAACTGCCTGTGCTGGAAATGCATGAGACCTGCCAAGTATGCAGGCTGCTATCTGGAAAGGCTGTTCACATTATTTTGTTGTCTTATGATGTCTGAACACCTTGACCAGTTAGCCTGACCAGAAACAGATACTAAATCTATCAAGAAGCTCGCTTCATCCAACTTTAAAATCCAACTGAATTTTGTAAACTATAAGTCTGTATGTGAGACTTAAAATTCCTTGGAAAGTTTCCAGCAGTTGCCATCTTCTCCCAGGAGATTTTCCAAGACTCCATTTAAAGAGCAGCTTGGATCCACATAAAGTAAAACTTCAGGAGTTTGGTATCCAGTCTTCTGGATGGCGGTCTCCCCCAGTGGAGTAGTATGCCAGAGAAAGCATCCAGTACTCAACTCTTAAAGACTAAAAAAAGGTCTAAAATTCTGTAGGTATTGCTGTAGTGTCAAGTGAAGACCATACAGTTTCCTGCCGAGTTACATGCAGCTAGTCAATACTGCAGCTTCCACAAACTGAATGTTTTCACCTATCCTGCCTTAGCAAGTGTACAGCTTAACCAGACAGCTTTGCTGTCTAAGCAGCAGTCCATGAAGGAAGCAGAAGACATGGATCAGCTAGGTCTTCCCAGCACATATAAGCTTATTTCTGGAAAGGGCTAGCCCAAAACCACATGATGTTGCATGGCCATTGCTCCCATTCAACAAGTATTATGTGGTAGTAACATACATTTAGAAATGTTGCTGTTTAGAGGCAAGTGGTGCACTTAACCCCAAATATCTCTGACTAACTTGATGATCTTAGGGCCAGGCCTGTGCTGCCCCTAGAACCTCACAGCTTCACTTCAGAAGTGCTGTACATTTTCTCCTTGTGCTTCAAGGTGTTCCATTGCTTTTGCCATTCAGTTCCTAGGGATGTGACCAGAGAGAGAGTCATTTTAAGGAGACAACAATTCCACTCAACAACTGCAGCTGGTTTCTGGAACACTCTTACCTCCATACCTTCAGTACATAAGAGTAAGTCACAGCAGAATAGGAGCCGGTGACTGGAAAACTAAAGTGGTTTAGACTTAAACATTCCCAAGGACACTATAAAAGCTTACATTAACTTG